TTTCAATGGTTATTTTATTCATTTTTTCTTCTTACTATTGCCGCAGTAATGCATTTATTTCTTCTTCTACTGATTAAAGGGGGCCCACAATTAATGACACTTTAATGTTGAAATAGAGTTTTTCAAATTCGATGATTTTAAAGTTAAATTCAGTTTTCTGCATTGGATCAAATCTTGCAAATTCAAATAACGATGTATTGTATGAATATGGCAAAAAATAGTAAAGCCTTGAATTATGATTAAGACCATGAATATAATGGGTAAGGTTGTTTGTGGTTAACCCTTTAGTGTCCAATTAGTTTGATGCAGGGTGTCGTTGTGATCTTGAAAAGTTCAAACATCTGTTAAAGGGTTAAAAAAACGCAAATAAAAACCATTTTCATTGTACCAAAGAAAATCCGCAAATTTCATTGTAAAAAAGTACAAATCCAAAATTTTTTTGAAATTATTAAGATAAATGACACACCCTGTATTTAATCTATTAACTTATCCTGATAATTAATAACATTTTCATCATTTTCCTGATAATTAATAACATATTCATCATTTTCCTGATAATTAATGACGTTTTCATCATTTTCCTGATAATTAATAACATTTTCATCATTTTCTTGATAATTTATAACATTTTCATCATTTTCCTGATAATTAATAACATTTTCATCATTTTCCTGTTTAACATTAATAAACTATTTGCCAAGTTTTCCTTGGCCAAGGGCGAAGTTAATCCGTTTGCTTATGTCGAGTAATCATCAAAGGTTCTTGAAACCACGACGGGATACAAATATCCAAAACTCCCAACCAGAAACATATATCCATTATTTGGGTCCCAACCTGATACATATATCCAATATTTGGCTCCCAACCTGATACAAATATCCAATATCGGGCTCCTATAACAAGATACATATATCCTTTATCAGACTCCCAACCAGATACATATGTCCAATATCGGGCTCTTTAACCTGATACATATATCCAATATCAGACTCCAAACCTGATACATATATATCCAATATCAGACTCCCAACCAGATACATATGTCCAATATCAGGCTCCAGACCTGATACATATATCCTTTTACAGACTCCCAACCAGATACATATATCCAATATCAGGCTCCAAACCTGATAAATATATCCTTTATCAGACTCCCAACCAGATACATATATCCAATATCGGGCTCTTAACCTGATACATATATCCAATATCAGATTCCNTAGATAGATAGATAGATAGATAGATAGATAGATAGATAGATAGATAGATAGATAGATAGATAGATAGATAGATAGATAGATAGATAGATAGATAGATAGATAGGTAAATAGATAGATAAATAGATAGATAGATAGATAGATATATAGATAGATATATAGATAGATAGATAGATATATAGATAGATGAATAGATGGATAGATGGTTAGATAAATAGATAGATAGATAGATAAATAGATAGATTGATAGTTAAATAGATAGTTAGTTAGATAGATAGATAGATAGATAATTGAGAGCAAGAAAGAGAGCGAACAAGAGAGGTTTAATGTTCAGTAGTGTATTCACTTTACTTCATCATATTACACCATGAAGGGGAAAACATGTATTTTCTCTCTTTATAAAATACGGCGGTTAATATAATAAGAAAATTTTAAATGATCACCCTGAATACGGTGGCTTATAAGATAACTATTTAATAATCACCCTGAATACGGCGGTTAATAAGAAAAAATTTAAATGATCACCCTGACTACGGCGGTTAATAAGAAAAAAAAATCACCCTGAATACGGCGGTTAATAACAAAAAAGTTTCCAAACTGAAAAGTATATCACGTTCTTCTTCTAACATGAAAAATTATATGCAGCCCAAGTAAAATGAAAATGAAACTTGTAAAAACAAGAAATAAAAGAATAGATTTTTGCCAAAAACTCAGATTTTCTAATTCTTATATCTTTACATCAAACGTAGTAGACCTTTGATATTTCAAACTATGAATCCTTTACGATCAAATATTCCAAGTTTGAAATATCATAGGTTTACACCATCAAGTTGTAAAGATATAGGGATAAGACAATTAGAGCTTGTTGCAAAAACACAATTTCTTTATTTCTAAAATTTGAATTTAATCTGGAATAAAATTTATTTTCAATCTTTTATAATCTGAAATCAAAGCGTTTAATCCTTACTTTCATGGGTTCATCCTTACTTTCATGGGTTCATCCTTACTTTCATGGGTTCATCCTTACTTTCATGGGTTCATCCTTTCTTTCATGGGTTCATCCTTACTTTCATGGGTTTATCCTTACTTTCATGATTGATTTTGGTTTACATCCTTTCAATGGTTATTTTATTCATTTTTTTCCTTCCTTATAGTCTTCTGTGATTTGGTATTTTTATATTCAACCATTAATATTTTTCTAGTTTCAATACACTCTATAGGATTAATTTTGTTTTTAAGGTTTATCACATAGTGTACAGAGTACTTTGCACATAATCATTCATCATTTCTAGAGACCCATACCAATGTGGAATAGGAAGACGACATTTAATTAATATTATTTGTAAATTAACTTTGTTGCAAATAGTTTTGAAAATCAACTTGTTTACACTGCACAATTGCTGTGTTTCATTTCCATTGGACTATTTCAAATCATAACATAATATTAGTAAAAAAGTTGTCATCTTCTTCCAGAGTTTTATGGGCTCCACTGTATCTTTAATCAAACTTTCGGTTGTTAGAAACTATTGAAATTTAGTTTTTCCTTTAAAAGCGTGATATTCGGATTATTTTTGCTATCGCTGTTGCGTATGCATAAATTAACAAGTCGTTTTCACAGAGAATTCACAATTGAAAAACTGAATATATTCAGCTCAATTAATCTTGATCTGACAAAGGTTTAAAGGGTATCGTAGTAAATCGGACATGTCCCTCTATAAATGGAGGGTCACTCACAGTCCCTGTACCAAATGAAACAAAGAGTTTAACCCTATCCCCGCTGGGGTACTTGAAAACCAGGATACGCTGGAGGGGGGTCAATTTGACCCCCCCCCCTCTAAATCCCATGTTTTATGTCCAAATATGACAAATGATACATCATTAGAAAGCTCTTGTGCTCTACTTTTAGAATCTGCAAAAAAATTTGCAAATTTGCGAAAATTGAATTTTTTATCGCAAAATCCAGTTTTACAGTAAAAATGTTTGCAAAAAAAAATTTGTCCAAAAAATGACAAATTATACATTTTTGAAAAGCCCTTGACCATGCCATTTCAAATATGCAAAAATTTTTGCAAAATTTTAAATAACCTGATTTTTAATCAAGAAAAACTAAAAATGTGCAAATTTCCTTTGACAGATTGTTTGCAAAAAATTGCAATTTTTTTTTTCGCAAAACTTGTGCAATCCGTTTCCTTATGTCATAGGCTTTCCAAAAAGCTAAATTTTATCAAAATCTGACAAGTGAAAGTGGGTCAAAACAAAAATTTAGTTTGCTACAGGCAAAAGCAGTCATTCAGGCAGTGTGCCTGAGGACTCAGGCAGTTAGTATTAAAGCCCGGTTTTAGGCCTAAAGGGAGGGCTTTGGGTATGTAAGAAAAGTCAGAAAATTTCAACAGCCTCAGACCAATACTTTTTGAGTTATGTAAAAAAAACTACAGGGGGGGGTCAAATTGACCCCCCCCCCAGCGGGAATAGGGTTAAAAGCGATTTGGATTGAACCCTTGGGGTTCAGTCCCTGATTTCAGGAGAGATTAAGCATGTACATTTAAGTTTCAGTCTGGAATTAAGAAATATTCAGCAAACATATCTCAGTAGAAAACATAATAATGTTCATATAAAAAAGGTCAAATTTATGAGAGAAAAAGGCAATGCATAAAAAGGACAAGATTTTCCATTATGTAGAGATAATAAAAAAAAGTTTTTTCAATTTTGAAACTTTTTGCAGTGGATTTTTTTCGGGGTGGGGTGAGAGATTAAATAATTTAGTTCAAGTATAAAAATATTTCTAAGAATTGTTCATCTTGATAATTTTATTTTTTAAACTTTTTAGACCTTTATTCTAATAATTATTATGGAAGGCAGGGGAGGTGGGTTCTAAAAAGAAAATTATCTTATTCATATCCAATGAACCGGACTAATCGTCGTCATAGTTTAAAAGGAAAATATTTCGTCATCCGTAACTATTTTAACTTCAATATATTTTATTAGATCTCCATATCTTTAATATATTTCATGAGATTAACACTTTTATATAGTTAATCTCGGGATTAAACAGTTCTCCATATCTTAATTATATTTTATGAGATTAAGACTTTTGTATGTTTAATCTGGGGATTAAACAGTTATCCATATCTTTAATATATCTTTTGAGGTCAACAATTTGTAAAGTTAATCTGGGGATTAAAAAGTTATTACATTTATAAATATGGTAGTTGAACTGGGAATGTAGTATTGTAAATTTTTTTGGGATTCATTTGAGACATATAACAGCATTTCAATGATGTATAATTTCTGAGTTTGAGCGCAAAGTCGATTTTTAAAATCATCCATTTGGCTGGTTACGTTTCGAGAATCGTTATTTTTTAAAGTATCAAATAACGACGACAAAAAAATGTATGAAAAATTCTACAGTAAACTAATTTAGATGTTTAGGAACATATTTCTCAATAGAAATTTGTCAATAAATCAATGCTAGAATCAATTATTTCTTTTTCATCATTATATTGAATTTCTTATCGTATCTAAAATATTGCCAGTATGTCTGTATATCTATCCTACGACGAAATAAATATATAAGTTTCTTAATAATATGTTTCTTTCCTTTCATTTAAACCATTCATTCTTTACGAATTTTTTTGCAGATTCCTACAAATTCTTCAAATGTCGTCTTTTCAATAAAAATACCAGAAAATCTACAGAAAATGTTTGTGTAGAATGATAGATTATAGAAACTAATAACTGAATAAGATTCTTAGTTCAACTACCATAGATTGCCCTTTAAAATAATCGTTTTTTATCTAAAAGTTGTTTATTCTAGAATTTTTTAAAAAATGAAGTGTTTATGAAGGAAAAGGGATCTAACTTTAGGGTTTAGGGAATGGGTAGCTGCTGGTCACATTTTACAAAAGCAAAAAGGTAAAAACTACTTTTTTTCGCTAATTCCTTCTAAAACCTTGTAAACAACTACCTAAGTGTTTAAATACGGAAAAAATATAATTGGTCGCCATTTTTTGAAGTTTTGCCTTTTTCGGTTTCTTGAAAAATAAAAAAGGATGATTAAAAACCAAAGAAAAAAAATGAAATTATAAAGAAAATAAGGGATACAAGTGTATTGAATTATTATCTTTGAATTTAATAGTAAAATCAATTAAATAGCTATTGGTTTCTCAAAACAATTATTTTTAGGATGTCTCAATAAACGGGAACAATAAGAATAATGTTAATTTCGTCTACTAGAGGATCATGGAACAACTAGACTCCATGGCTAGAGTTAATGTTTGTTTATGTTTTGATTGCATACTGTTGTACTTTGTTCCTCTTAATTCCCTTTTTATCTTGTACCAGAACATCATACAACGTTTTGCAGAAAAACAAAACACAAGGTATATCATGCAAGGAAAGTTAATTGCAGTTGCGTATACTCTGCGTACATATTGAAACCAGTTCTCTCTGGGCGGAATTTGTAAACAAGAATAGATGCATCAGTGTTTGTTTAGTATCAGTGGAGAATAAAAGAATTTAATTTTGATAATTTTGATAATTCACATAATAGTTTCCTTTGACCAGAATATTACATTGATTTTTTATGTGAAAGATGGATTCCATGTCAGGCTGTGACATCCGTCTTGTGTTTACATTACCGTCCAGAGACAGTACACTGCAGTACAAAAGATGCGTACACTTCTGAAATAACTTTCCTTGCATTATAACCTTGAACAAACCCGATCTTTTACCGTCTAAATACATAAAATATACTCTAGCAGACGTAAAATTATTTTGACCATTGAAATTAGGTAGTATAGCGCTAATATTGAAATTAGGTAGTATAGCGCTAATATTGAAATTAGGTAGTATTACGCTAATATTGAAATTAGGTAGTATAGCGCTAATATTGAAATTAGGTACTTTAGCGCTAATATTGAAATTAGGTAGTTTAGCGCTAATATTGAAATTAGGTAGTATAGCGCTATAATATTGAAGTTATATAGTATAGCGCTAATATTGAAATTAGATAATATAGCGCTAATATTGAAATTAGGTAGTATAGCGCTAATATTGAAATTGGATAGTATAGCGCTAATATTGAAATTGGGTAGTATAGCGCCAATATTGAAATTAGATAGTATAGCGCTAATATTGAATTTAGATACAGGGTGTCCCACGAAACATGACAATAGCAAGACGACTTGAAAGTCGTCTTTGATATTTGAACTTGATATTGAAATAAGTAGTATAGCGCTAATATTGAAATTAGATAGTTTAGCGCTAATATTGAAATTAGGTAGTATAGCGCTAATATTGAAATTGGATAGTATAGCNTTGGCCCACTTTAGTCATACTTTAGTATTTAATCACTGGGGGGGGGCGGGGCGGGGGGAAGCTTGGGCGAACTCAAGGATAAATTCTTTTATACGTCCCTAGTTTTCAAAAAATAGTGATAACCAGAAAACTCTGAAATATGAAGACGACTTCCAGACTCAAGTTATGACTTTAAATAGCCCAAAGAGCTTGATACTTAGCAAATGTTTAGTGAAAACAGACCCATTTCACTTATTTAGTGATTTAAGAAATGTCTAGGGTAAGTATTTGTTTTGCATCAACCTCAAATATATTTCTATAAAGTCGTCTTTCTATTTCAGAGTTTTCTGGTTATCACTGTATACTAATGAATATCCATTTAATCTGTTCAGAGGGTTAAGCTGTCTGGGATGCAAGGGCAGAGAGGAGTCTCCTAAGATAATTAAAAAACCCCTAAAGGTCAACAGACTTCCGGAAGAAGTTGGTGAGAAGATTATAAATGTTGTCTTTGATTAATGTGGGCTCACTTTGTGATACATGAAAACTTTACCGCGTCCAAAGGTCAGAACTTATGCTTGCTGTTAATCGTTTTGCATAGATTTTAGTAAAAAAAAATCAATAAAACTTCTGTGAAATCAAGACTGTATTATGATAAAGTTTGATAAAGTATGATAAAGTTACTTCACCACGTTCGTGTTTGCTTCGTTTTTGGGTCGTTCTTTGCATAAATCTCCTGTCAGGGTTAAATTTTGACATAGTTTGACAAGAAAACCAAATGTTAAAAACCCGTTTCTACTCTTACATTATGCCAAATTTGAACTCTGATGGAAAGTATATCTGACCTTGACCTATTTTGACCCTGAAAGACCATCATTATCCGACAAAACGAGAAAATATTTATTTACAATGTTCAAATGATAAATCAATGAAGAACAGCTGATCCGTATTTTCGCGTTTTCTCATTTTTTTTATTTTCATTGATTTTTGTCCTCAATATTTCCAGCTGACGAAGTTCCTTTACGCGACGATTTAATCTTTTTGAAAAGGATTAAGAATACAAAAGTTTTGACCTAAATTTAGATTACATTTTTTACTAAGTCTAAGTAGATTTAACATATTCATATTCTAAGTAAACATATTTATATTCTTGTTTCTAAGTAAACACATTCATATTCTAGGTACTAAGTTAACATATTTATATTCTAGGTTCTAAGTAAACATGTTCTGAGTCTGAGTAAACATATTTGTATTCTAGGTTCTGAGTAAACATATTCATTTTCTAGGTTCTGAGTAAACATATTCATTTTCTAGGTTCTGAGTAAACATATTCGTATTCTTGGTTCTAAGTAAACATATTTATATTCTAGGTTCTGAGTAAACATATTTATATTCTAGGTTCTAAGTAAACATGTTTTGAGTCTGAGTAAACATATTCATATTCTAGGTTCTGAGTAAACATATTCATATTCTAGGTTTGGATCGAGTAAACATTTCTCATCAACTTAGTTCATTTAATAGTTTAGGTAATTTATAATGAAAATAGTAAATATAATAATTCTGATGATAATTAATCAACATAAATAATATCCATTAATTTTTTAACAAATACATAATAAATAAAAAACATATTAAAGACAAAGTGTTTAAAACTAATAGTATTCAGTGAAAAATAAAAAGTAAGTAAATGTTGATGAAATGTTGTAAATTCTATTTGAAGAGCTAGGGGGCCTGCTATATTCACTTTAACATAAAAAAGTCCTTGGTTTTTTGGAATTTAACAATTTTCATTTAAATTTTTTTACGGAGGTCCATGTTAAAAACAGTTTTTACAAAGGATCGAATGTTATTTGCTTTAGAACCAATAGAAATCTAAGCCACCTAGAGATTCAAATTTTCATTGCTTCAAAGTTTTCGCGCTCATCGCACGCACCAATTTTTTTAGTGAGTAAATCATTTGTTTACACCTGAATAGAGTTACTATAGTCTACATCAAGGGGCGTACACAGGATTTTTTCCAGAAGGGCTTCCTGTGTACGCCTCTATCTAAATCCCTGTAAAGTGTACATAAGTATAGTTATGATATTTCAGATTGTGGTTCCTCAGAGCGATTAATCCTAACTGGAGGGTTTGAACATAAAATACCTAAAATATACTTCCAGGTCATAGCCATAGAATTTTAATTGATTATTCTTTTGGCTTTTACTAATCAATCATATCGTAATAAAGAATTTCAATTTGATCGCCATTTAATTTAATGGTTTTTAGGATTATAGGATAGAGATTAATAGGATTATAGGATAGAGATCTATATATATATATGTTGAGTATAGCCGGCCGATACCAGGCACGATATGAGACCATATGCCAAATGGCTGGACCGTTTGGGCTGAAATTTTTTGTGGACACTCAGGGGTGACCGGGGACTGTTATAGCTATTATAGAATTTTTTTAACATTTTTTTTCACGGGCAACGCTGGGCCCTTTAGCTAGTCTATAATAATTTAAAAAATGGAAATCCAAATTCATAATAAAATATTTTTTTTTCTAGACATAGATGATATTAAATTTGAGCTGCCAAATAATCATACAGGAACAGATTTTTTTGTTTCAAAATTTGATAAAATTAGAAAATCAATTACAGATAATTCTGTGCTGAATTAAACCTTAAGGTATAATATAAGCATAAAGTCTATCTTATGATTTCATATATAACGGAAAAATTTTCTTTCTCTAAAGCTAATAATTATATAGATCTAAACTTTATGTTATATGTATATTTATAGATCTGAATCTAATATGTATTTCTAAATAATTATCTATAAATTTATATCTATCTCTCCAATTTCAGGAAAAGAAAGTTCCAAACCTTGCTTATGTTCCAAACCTGACTCTGAGTGTCAGGTTTGGACACAAATAATATGATCTATCAGTTAAAGAAACTATTTCCAACAAAGTATGAAGCACGACGAAAACTACAAATAAGACCATTTACTTATTTTCTAAAATTAAAACTGTAAGTGATCGTTCATTTTCACGTAAACCCCCGGATACCATTATTATAGGATAAAGATTAATAGGATTATAGGATAGGGATTAATAGGATTATAGGATAGAGATTAATAGGGTTATAGGATAGAGCTTAATTATATGTACGAAAAATTGGTTTCGCATTATCAGCTGATTTCCACAAATAAGATTTTCTAATATTAAAAAAACTAGACAGCGTTCTCAACTTCTCAGTAGAGATTATTTTAAAATTTTGCATGCTTTGATGAAAAAAATAATATTGAATTCGTGTCTCGTTTTATTTTTAGAAAATTTTTTATAAAAAAGATGCAAGTCACAAAAAGATAAGCTTTGCAAATCAAATTCACTTTTTAAGATGCTTTGAGTAAGTCTAGAGCTACGGACAAAGGAGGGATTGTCTTTGCTTTATGAAATAATTCGCGGCATTAATTCGTTATAAGTTTGATTCTTGAAACAATAATCTCAAAATTCCATTATTCCTGACAAAATGTCTGCTTTCAATTTATTAAATAAAAAAAAATTTTCCAAATCTTGACAAAATTCTTCATATTCACGTTAACTATAAAAGGACAAATTTTGCTTGCAAGTTAGGTTGAAGAATCAATGCCGCAAAGACGATCTTTAACTGTCAAGGTTCGTGAAAAACCCTGTATTAAAACTTTTTTTAAAAAATTTAAATTTTTTTAGGATTTTGGCCAAGAAGAGGAAGAAGATGTTCCACAATTAACAGGTTTTCAAACTTGATAAAAAAAATATAATCTTTATGAGAAAATATAATCTTTATGAGAAAATTTGTCAACTGAACAATTTTCACTTCAGTTAAATCCTCTCAGTAAAATAAGTATTCCACAGTTCTGACATTTCCAAAATGTGGTCTGACTATTTACTGGCTTTCAAATTCTTTTGAAGAGATAGAAACAATTTTTGTTGAAGGATCTTTAAACTTAATTTCAACTGATCCTCCATTGATTTATTCACAGATGAATTAGATATCCATGTTTTTTTGTTTTGGAACTGATTATTTTCATTTGTGATTTCTCTACAAAAGTGACAATGGAGAAATTAGCAGAATTAATCATTTTTTAAAATTTACGACGTTATCTTCCTTATTATTGTTCCGATTTAAAACCAAAACTGCCATTTTTCTGGTACAAAAGATTATGATGAAAGGTTATGAGTCTTTTAATCTTATTTGAAACAACCTATTGCGATTAGGTCAATGATAAAATTCTTTTCCTGCAGTAGAAATGCGCAAGTCAGGTTTGAAGAGAAACCATAATTGAAAACAAACAGCTTTTAAAATTATAAACATTATTATCTAATTCATACTTGATCAGACAAAGCTTTTAAGCTGGTATCGTTGTTAATCGGGTTTTGCCATCTTTGCATAAAGAGTCCTTTGAAATTACGCTTACAGTCTCTTTAATTCGTCTTACGATCTGTAGGGATAAGAAATCTTGGTGCAGAATTCAGAAAATCTACCAAACTTATTTATGTAAGTAAAAATATATTTTTTTATAAGCGAAATAAATTTTTTTACACAAAGCTTTACTAGTTACAAATAAAATTGGAAAAATCCTTTTCGTGAGTAAATTTAATGTAAAAATAATGCGTTTAGAATTAAAAGCAAATTCCGATTTTAGCTTTTTTTGCAATAGACTTTAAAAATATTTTTTTTATGCGTTATGCTTCCTTATGAACCCTATTCTCTTTTTTTATTCTAGCCTTTTTCTTTTTAATTATTTGTTAGTTTTTAAGGAGTGACTGATTAAGTAACATTATTTTCTGTTTTTTATATTTTTTTCTGTTTTTCTATGCCTGTATATTTGTAAATTATCTGTTTAAAACTTTGCACTAATTTTGTTCATGTTCTGCACTTGCAAATTTTAGAAACTGTATATTTAATAAATATTTATATTTGTTAGAACTACTTTTCTGAATCTGATTATGAAAGTGAATATGAAAACGAACTGGAGGACAAGGTAAAAAACATATTTTTAATTCATTTTTAAAACGGACAATTATTTTTATTTCGAAAAAGACAACTTCATTTTTTGAAAAGACAATTTATTTATGTTTTATTTTAATTTTGAAAAAAAAAATTTTATCATTTTCATTTTTAAAAAGACATGTTTTATTTTAAAAGACAAGCTTCTTTTTAGATTATCTATAAATTCGAATATACAACACTACTGTACAACTATACGTTGAATGACAAAAAGATAAAACTGTTGGCGGCTACAGGGAACTATAAATTTTGTGAAAAGACTAAATAAAAGTCTGTACAGTCGTCTCTGAAGTCTCAATCTTGGTGGGAAACATTGTATACAGCTAGAGAACTGTACAATTGAAAAAGTATACATGGTACTGGGTACATAAGTAAAATCGTACGGTTGTACAATGGACACCTCTAAATTGTACACATATTTTTAGGTTGAAGAATGGGATTGTGAGAATCAAAGAGTACAGGTAAAACTTTGTTTTTATCTTTTTTTTTTGTAAAAACAAGATTTAATTAAAACCCCGGTCTTAAAATTTGGTGCAGGTTTTCATTGCAGTTTGGATATTTTGTGTTTATTTTATCTGTTTTAGTTCAATTGTGCACCAAGCAAAGACTCCTTGGATTTAGAAACTTACAGGTAAAGAATATATTTTTGTCTCCGGAATTGAAAATATTTTTTTACTTTCATTTAACGTTTTTGTTAACGTTTTAGTTGGCGCGGTTTGGTAACGTTGTTATTAACGTTTTTATCAACTTTTTTTTCTTTTGTTATGTAATTTTTTTTAACGTTGTAGTAAACGTTTTAATAAAATTATCAGTTAGCGTTTATGTTAACGTTGTTGTTAACGTTTTGTAAATTTAGCCGTTATTGACGAAAATCTAATTCTCGAAACTTTTGCCAAATTATTTAAAATATCAAAATTTCATGAATTAAAGTGATTTTACCTTTACTTTTGAGTGACTTTTTACTAGAAGTGCGACAATACTTTAATACATTTTTCATAGTATACGCCAATTCAAGCTTATGACAAGTGGAGCTGAACTATGAATTCTGTTAAATTAAATTATATAGCCTAAGTTTGAAATATAAAAAGATTTACACCATTAGGTTGCAAAGATCTTGAGATTAGAAAATATATGTTTGGTCACAGGCTTAATAAAATGTCCCTCCAATCAAGCAGAATTAGTATTCACCCAAATAGGAAAATTTTTATTGTTTTAATTTTGTATAGGGTTACCCAAAAAGGATGAGACAATAATGACGACCTTTATATTTCTTTAGATCTGGTTTATTTTTGTATTCCGGCTTTAAATAGTCGTGTATACTGTATAAGTCCAACTTAATGATTTGGAAGAAAAAGCAACAAGTTATTCCAGTTTAAGGGAATCATAAATGTAAGAATAAAGTCTAAAAATAGCTGGCCAAAAGGCTGGACCGAATGGGCTAAATTTTGTTGAGCGAAAAACCATGGGTGCCCCGGGGGTAACAATATTTTTTTCTTCAAAACTCTATTTCTTTCTATTTTTTTCGAAAAAAAATTTTAATTAGATTTTTAAAATTCCACGGGCAACGCCGGGTATTTCACCTAGCATCTAATATTATTGTAGAACTCTAAGAAAATTATCCACCCTGCCTGAGATGTGTGAAGATATTGAAGTAAACTCTCCTTCATGTGAACAAGTAGGTTATATTAGTCTTGATCTAGTTCCGTTTAGTTAAAGGGACTAGTTTTAAAAATTTGAGCCGCGTCTCAAATCCACCAAAAACCGGTTTCAATCGGACGCCGTGCCGGTTTGAATCTCGAAACATTAAATTCAATTTTTAGTGCAACCGACCATATTTGAGCCGCGTTTAAAGTTGAAACGTATTTCAAGTGCCCCGTCCGTTAGTTTGAATTCACTGAAATCTAGATAATTCTGAACTCTTGTCATCCAACTTTGTCTTTAGAGTGTTGCAACACCTTGGCCTTTGTTTTAACCTCAACAACTCACTTACACATTTCTGTAGCTCTAGACGAAATCATTTTATAATTGCCATGTGCTTGTTTCTAGCTTATAGTGTCTTTCTCATTTCTTGCAAAAGAAAGAATATAGAAATATAATCACTTTTTAATTTAAAAAATTACCTTATCTTTCACAAGATTGATCAGTTTAAGGTATAAACGGTACTAGATGTGAATGGGACATGCTCCTTTTTTTTAAATGGAGGGTCACAAAAAATTCGACGACGGTTTCTTATGGTTGCGTCTGATTATGTGTTGTTATATAATCATCATTAATGCAACAAGTTATTAAATCAAGACCGTGAATTTGTGAATTGTGAATTATAGGGAAAAAAGGAAAAAGAAATATTAAATGTGAAGAGGAAAAATCATGCTAAAAACACAACCTAATAAATCAATTAAGGAATGTATATTGTAAAGAATAATTCAATAAATATTCAAAGAATGAATGAATTCATCAATGTAAAATCAAAGAATAAATCAATGATTCAACAAATATGTTATTTAATTATTTAATGAATAAATCAGTGATACAAACAATGAGGAAAAGCAACAAAGCAAAAAAAAAACAATGTTTAGATATGTTCGTATGTCCCTCCGTTAAACCTTAGTGGTCCTGAGCCATCAGGTAGTATTATAGGATAAAGATTAATAGGATTATAGGATAGGGATTAATAGGATTATAGGATAGAGATTAATAGGGTTATAGGATAGAGATTAATAGGATTATAAGATAGAGATTAATATAATTATATAGGATAGAGATTAGTAGAATTAAAGGATAGAGATTAATAGGATTGTAAATAGAGAGTAATAGGCTTATAGGATAGAGATTAATAGGATTATAGGATAGAGATTAATAGGATTATAGGATAGAGATTATTAGGATTATAGGATAGCGTTTAGTAGGATTATAGGATAAAGATTAATAGGATTATAGGATAGAGATTAATAGGATTATAGGATAGAGATTAATAGGATTATAGGATAGAGATCTATATATATATATGTTGAGTATAGCCGGCCGATACCAGGCACGATATGAGACCATATGCCAAATGGCTGGACCGTTTGGGCTGAAATTTTTTGTGGACACTCAGGGGTGACCGGGGACTGTTATAGCTATTATAGAATTTTTTTAACATTTTTTTTCACGGGCAACGCTGGGCCCTTTAGCTAGTCTATAATAATTTAAAAAATGGAAATCCAAATTCATAATAAAATATTTTTTTTTCTAGACATAGATGATATTAAATTTGAGCTGCCAAATAATCATACAGGAACAGATTTTTTTGTTTCAAAATTTGATAAAATTAGAAAATCAATTACAGATAATTCTGTGCTGAATTAAACCTTAAGGTATAATATAAGCATAAAGTCTATCTTATGATTTCATATATAACGGAAAAATTTTCTTTCTCTAAAGCTAATAATTATATAGATCTAAACTTTATGTTATATGAATATTTATAGATCTGAATCTAATATGTATTTCTAAATAATTATCTATAAATTTATATCTATCTCTCCAATTTCAGGAAAAGAAAGTTCCAAACCTTGCTTATGTTCCAAACCTGACTCTGAGTGTCAGGTTTGGACACAAATAATATGATCTATCAGTTAAAGAAACTATTTCCAACAAAGTATGAAGCACGACGAAAACTACAAATAAGACCATTTACTTATTTTCTAAAATTAAAACTGTAAGTGATCGTTCATTTTCACGTAAACCCCCGGATACCATTTTAGAAACAATTTAAGGTTTTCCATTTTCGAACATATCGAGAATTCGAATCTTGGACGGGTTTTGGAACATAAACTAACTCAGGGAACAATCCATAATTTAATTTATCTATTCTAAAATTAAGTATGCAGACGGTTTATTAAATTTTCGACTAAAATTAAAAATATGAACAGTTAAAAAGATAATTCATTTGGCCCAAACCTGACACTCAGTGACAGGTCTGGGTCAAATCACGGTTTGGATCTTTCTTCCCCTGAATTTGTATCTCTTTATCTATTCTAAACTCCGTCTTTAATCTATTTCCAAATCTCTGATAATCTATAAACTATATCTAAATTCTACTATACATCTTCAACCGATCTGAAATCTAATCATATCCAATATTTTAGACCAATCTTACTAATCCAATGATAATCCCGAAATCCCGAAATGATATTTCTAAGAATTTTCAATCAACTCCAAAACTGTGAATCCATAGAAAGACGAAATTCTCGATTGATCCGGCAAAATGGTTTAGACATTGAAAAATCTCAACTCTCATTCGAGGTAAATACTTTTATTCATTCTTTCCATTATCCATTTTATTCCCTTATTATCCTTCTCATTCATTCCATTATCCTTCTCATTCCTTCCGTTTTCCTCCTCGTTCATTCCATAAACCCCCTCATTTCTTCCATTATCCTGCTCATTCCTTCCATTATCCTTCTCAATTCCTTCCGATATCCTTATCATTTCTTCCAATATCCTTCTCATTTCTTCCATTATCCTTCTCATTTCTTCCATTATCCTTCTCATTTCTTCCATTATCCTTCTCAATTCTTCCATTATCCTTCTCATTTCTTACATTATCCTGCTCATTCCTTCCATTATCCTTCTCATTCCTTCCAATATCTTTCTCATTTCTTCCAATATCCTTCTCATTTCTTCCAATATCTTTCTCATTTCTTCCAATATACTTCTCATTTCTTCCAATATCCTTCTCATTTCTTCCATTATCCTTCTCATTTCTTCCAATATCCTTCTCATTTCTTCCAATATCCTTATCATTTCTTCCAATATCTTTCTCATTTCTTCCAATATCTTTCTCATTTCTTCCAATATACTTCTCATTTCTTCCATTATCCTTCTCATTTTTCCATTATCCTTCTCATTTCTTCCATTATCCTTCTCATTTCTTCAAATATCCTTCTCTTAGTCATTAAAACTTCCATTACTATAGGAGTTTCTAGTTCATCGTCATACTAGTTCTAACATTATATTTGTGTCGTCTAACAATTACTAAGTGAGTTAGGAGGAAACGATTTATTTATATCGAGAATTCGGTAGAAAAACGTCATATACTTAATCAAAAATCAAATATAAGTACTTAATTTGCTTGATGAGTTCGGAGACTTTTAGATTATTCAGAATATATTTTTAGCTTTTCTATTTCTCTTAATTCCACCAAATTCTTTTCAATTCTTCTGTTTTTGCGACAGAAAAAAATTGGTCATAATTTCTTCAGCTTTAGATTTAATTAAAAATAATTGCAGCAAAATGATCAGAATAAAAATTACGTTTCAACAGAAACTAAATCACCCAGGTCTGCCGCTTTAGTAATAGTAAATTAGCGGTACAGTCCAAACTAGGACCACAAAGGTTTCCCCATCTTGGAAACTTAAATGTTAACAGGTTTTGCGTGAAATGTGTAAAAAACCAATTTTATTGTAATTTTGGTAGGAAAACTGTTATTTTTTAAATCATTAATCGAAATCTTTTTGGTAAAAAACTTTTCTATTTTAAATATTCCAATATATAATAAGATCTAAAACAAATAGTATATTTTTATATTTTACATTTTTATATTGGACACTTCGATCCCCCTTTCCTTTAAAAATCAGTTTTAGCTTCTAACTGTCCAGAAGTCGTTTTTTTCAATCGCTAACATGCTTTCACGCTTGCAGACTTCCCTTAACATTTTTGTCATTTCTCTTTAATTATTTATGATTTTTTATGATATTTTGTAAAACAACAGAATAAACATTTTTCCATCCATTCCTAAAAAAATTGTTTCTCGTTTTTAAATTTTCCAAAAAAATGTTAACAGATTCAATTTTTTATGTTTAAAATCCGAAGCAAACAAAAATTTTGAAAATTTTGTCAAAGGCATCGATAGTCCCGGTTAGTTCATGCACTCTATGATACAGGGTGTCCCAAAAAACATGGGAATTCAGTGACGAATTGGATATCGTCTTTGTTATGAATTAGCATTGTAATACCTAATTTCAAAAGCCATAGTATAATTATGTCTGCTAGAGTTTATTATATGGAAAGGGTAAAAGACTGTAAAGATGTGTCTATAATGTCTCCGCACGATGAACAGTGAAGACGGACAAGTTTACTCTGTTTGTATTCTGCAATTTTTTTGTTTTACTAAGTACAACCGTTTGCAGTCAAAACATAAACAAACAAAATGTGAACTCTCCTTAGGTATCACTATACTAAATCAAAGTATTATTAAAAAAGACGATATCGAATTCGTCACTTAATTCCCATGTTTATTGGGACACCCTGTACAATAAAATAATCTTTGACAGTAGGTTTTCCCGAGCAGAGACTTAACAAGAACCTATATTGGAGTAAAGACGAATATTGTTGTTTAATTTGGATTAGCCGCTCATGATTTTTATAATAAATGTAATGTTTTATTTTCTGTAGAGTAATTCCTCCACAGCACGCGGAAGAACTAAATCCCAGGATTTGGAAGGTAACAGAGTTAGAAATTTTTTATCAGATTTTTCCAACATTTGGATCCCAATTATGTTTTTTTTTACAATTTTCAAACTTTAATGATTTAATATGATTTATATAAAATGTAGTGTTGATGTTGGATCAAGCCTCATATAAAGTTTAAAAAGTAGTTCCACATTTTATTGAAAATATATTTCGGTCTGTTCTCACGATATAATAATCATCAAAATCAATAATAAAAAATGTTAAAAAAACCACAAGAAAATAAAAAACAAAAAAGGTTTTTTATTCAAAATAAGAGGCAGTCAGATGGGAAAAGGAAATGAACTCAAATATGTCTATGAGCTCTACACAAAAAAGTAATTGCTCTTCACTGAAATATGACAATTATAAAAGAAAATATAAAAGGAGAAATTATCAAAGTTCTGCTTGATTTTGCACGAGAGCGTGCATCTTGATTTGCTGTGTTTTAATCTGGAAGTGTTTGCATCCGGCGGGAAAAATTCTGACTCTAAGCGCGCGTAATTTCAAGTATTTAACTTTAAATGCAAGTGTACGCTGTGTTGACTTACGTACAGCCTGACCTCATCACAGTGCACATTGGAATTTTCGGCTGAATACAAGTTGATTTTGATAAGTTTAAACACACATTTCTCTGTGCTCGACAACCACACAAAGGTTGTAAATCGGGGATTTCCCTCTGTGCATGGAGGGTCACTTGAAATTTTGCTTACAGTTTCTAATAACCAACAAAAATGTTGACCTGCGAAATGGCGTCAAATTAAATCTTAGAAATGCTGCAAAAGATGTTTACTGTTTACTAATATTGATATACTATAGGTTAGGCCAGAATCAACTTATAATAAACAAATATGCAGTACGCTATCGGTATAGTTTATGGCCTATATAATTAGTAAAGGGTACATCATCACTCTATACACTATAACCTCGTTGATGTAATCAAACGAAATCAAATCATTAACTCTTCTTTTCACAGTAAAATTTTGAACAATGTGATAAAAGCAGACTTATACTATTCCAAAATATAAAAAAAAACATCTTATATTAATATGGAGGAGCCTCTTAACAGTAAAGCCTCCTTTAGTATCTAAAAATAAACCCACAGTTGCCGTTCTTTCGTAACATTGTCAGAATGTTAATTAAATCTATCTATTTAGGTTATTTTACGACAAAATCTGGAAGATCTAGCCAGCGACCATTACACTTCTCAACAGGAAAACAATTCAAATTTAATCTATATAATATATATATACTTTGCTTGTCTGTCTGTCCGTTTTGGTGTTTGTTATTTTGTTTGTATCCAATAAACGTCAATACAGCTGAACAGCTCGGACCCATTCTTTTGTCGGATCTCACATGGCCCCATCAGGGAAGGATGGATGCTCAAAATTACAAAAATTTGTCTCCAAAATTTTTGAATTTCGTAAAATTTGAAAATCCACGAAAAAAATTGAAAATCCGTAGAATTTGTTTTCTTGCTGTACCGTGGAGAAAATGTTAATAGATTGAGCAACAATTAAATTGTAAAATAGAAGATGGGCACGAAGCGCCCTGAAAGCTTAGTTCATCAAATTCAACTAAACTGGATTCTAAACTAAAATATCATTATTGAAACCAATGTTTGAAGAAAATGGGTAAAGGATAGGGATTGTCAATTAATTCAAGGTTTTCTGATTATATGACCGTATAATAGATAACGATACAATACGGTTAAATATAAAACAAACCCATTCCCATTCACCCTCACTATACATTGCTTGAGATACGATTATCGTCTGCAGTTAATTTTCTCTAATTTTCTTAACCTCGTATCTTAGCTGACTAGTGTCGAAGATCTATATACATTTTGCGAGATCAAAGTCAAAGTTTGAAATATAAAAGGTTTACACGGTTACACCATCAGGTTGCAAAGATATGGATTAGAAACTTTGAAGTTTGCAGTAATTGTTTAGTTCCAACTTAAAACTGAAATTAAACTGAGGTCCTGAACACCAGATATTAATCGTAACTGAGGTCCTGAACACCAGATATTAATCGTAACTGAGGTCCTGAACACCAGATATTAATCGTAACTGAGGTCCTGAACACCAGATATAAATCGTTACTGAGGTCCTGAACACCAGATATTAATCGTAACTGTTTTAAGATATTAATCGTAAAAAATAATAAAATATAATGAAGTTTAACAAAAACATTATTCAAACGGTTTTTTTTGTGCTGAGGTTTCAATAGTATAGTGAAAACTTTAGATTCAGTCGTAGTTCAGTCTTGAAGCTGTGAGAAAAACAACCATGAAAAATGTTTTTAAAAACTCTTATCTTTGTTTTTGTTGTTGTTCAGATTTCCCAAATGAGATTTGCTTTTGTTTCTTTGTTGTATTTAGATTGTATAGAAAGAAAACATGACGGACCTGTAAAGTACATTTTGTTCTTAGGTACCAAAACTAATGAATTGGGAGTAGAGTTGAACTTCGAAGACTAAGTTGAGCCGCTTCACGTTTTTTGCACTTCATAATAGCTTATAACGTTCTGGATATTAATGTATATTAGGTTCGTTACATTCAGATACAGGGTGTCCCACGAAACATGACAATAGCAAGACGACTTGAAAGTCGTCTTTGGCATTTAAATTTATTTGTGACATTTAGTCTTCTATCTACTTTAACATGTATGATTCTTGAAACAATTATCACATAATTACCCTAGCCCTGGCATTTCCAGTTTTTTGTGCTTTCAATATTACCGGAGATATAGAGAGTTTGGTTTAGATTTCAATTTTGTTAAATAAAAGCAAAATTGTCGAAATCTGAACGAAATTCTTCATCTCGGGCAATATTGAAAGCACAAAAAATGCAGACCACATTTTGGAAATGGCAGGACAAGGGAAATTTTGTGATTATTATCTCTAGAATTTTACTTTTAAAATTAGGTTGACAAATAAACGCAGCAAATTATATCAAAAATCAAGACGACATTCAAGTCGTCCAACAAATTTTGACGCATGCTAATTTTTAAACCGCGCAGTGTCGCTGGTTGAATCGACATGAAACAAACTTTGTGAGATGATAATTATATGGAGGCGCGGCACAGCGAGCGGACAAACACCGGTTGATAGATCATGTAACAAATTTTGAATTAAGGCGTATGAAAATACATTCAACAAAATTTGACGAATGATTCTACTAAGGTGTATTTGAGTCCGGTGCTCCAACAAATTTTGTTAGATGAAAATTTGAAATTTCTTAGAGTGCATGCATTACGTTTCCGCCCCCTGATGTTCATTGGTCAGTCTCTCAATCTTTAAATCATAAAAAAAGTCGAAAATTTGTCAAGTTTAAGCAAAGCAACGAAACTATTAACTTGTGCAAGTAAAACAAAAATATATTTGATTTGTATCTCAGATCAATCTTCTTGCGACTCAAGCCAGGTGACTAGATTTAATATACTTAGTGTACATCAAATTAGAGAACATGTCGTCTTTCTTTTTAAATTTGACACTTGTGACGTTGTGCGCAGTTGGTCGAATTTTCTGTTGCCATCTATTGTACTTGACAATCTATTTGGTTTACATTCATTAATAACCATATAAAGGTATCACTGCAAGTTTTTTTAGACATCCTTTACAGTAATCATAATTACTCGATCATTACTGCACATAATTATTACTATTGATTAAGATGTCTTTTAAAAAAAAGTTAAATAAAAATAATTTTCGAATTATGCAAAACCTTGAAACTTTTTACTGATCAAGGATGGCAGACTTTTCCTTATTTATCTACAGAAACTTTTCCTTATTTATCTACAGATTATTTATCTACAGAAACTTTTCCTTATTTATCAACAGAAACTTTTCCTTATTTATCAACAGACACTTTTCCATATTTATCTACAGAAACTTTTTCTTATTTATCTACAGACACTTTTCCTTATTTATCTACAGAAACTTTTTCTTATTTATCTGCAGACACTTTTTCTTATTTATCTACAGACACTTGTAATTGTTAAAAAATAATTTGTCCATATTGGCAAAAAAGGTTATCACTCTTGGAAATAGAGATACTTGGGGTTGGAAAATAATTAGGATTTATTTCTATATCCTCATCAGTCCTTAACGAATGTTGGTATTAATGAAAAAAATTGCTGAATACTTTGTTTGCAAGTTGTTTTATTTTTAAGGAAAATTAATATTTATTTTCTAGACTGGCAGAATGTTAGCATTCAAATTTTTAAAAACAAACTTGTACATTGCATATTCTAGATTTTCCAGGAATAAATGTGACGTCATCTCCGTTAAGTTCACATAGTACGCTGGCGTACACTCTAATTTTACGGCTATTTAAACAGTATTTCAGAGATATAACCACTGAGTTTTCTGTCCTCAGTGATGAGTCGAAGGTTTTAAGGGTACCTATGTACATCAGGGGTTTATTTCATTAAAATTAACCTTGCGTTCACAATCTCATTTCTTAAAGAATAAAAGTACAAAACTTAAAGTTATTTTAAAAATCCATAACTTTTAGGTAGAAAATATTTACCAAATCTAGTTTTGCAATTGATTAAATTTTTCAAAAACATAGTTTGCAAATTATTTATAATTATTTATAATAAGGCTGACAGCGGAAGAACGGATTCAGAAGTCTGGATTTCGAAAGAAAAAGTGTTCTATTCGTCCTCCAAATGCTCTCCTACAAGATGGGACTCCAATTTTAAATCCAATTCCTTGGCAGGAAGTTCGAACTCTCCTTCCCCCTCCCTCTCCTTCAACCCCTTCAACCAGGTGTCCCATCAACCAACCACCTCCTTCTCCTCGTCCTTCTCCTCCTCCTCCCCTGAAACCTTGTTGTATCCAAGTGCTAGTCAAGGGACAAAAGCCTGGACAACTAAAATAGAATCAAACCCAGGTAAAAACTAAACAAGTTTTCTTCCGCATGAAATCTGAGCTGGGAAATTTTATCAATTATAGTATGATTAACCTACAGGGTGTCCCACGAAACATGACAGTTGGTGAATAGTTTTGAATGTCTTTTTCCACATACTGTATTAGATATTAAGACTTTTTGCAGTTTATTTCTTTAAAAAAAATGTTAAACTCATATATATTTTACTGTGAAATAAATTTTACTATAGTATAACTGTCATATATGAAACAGCTTTTAAAATTATGGAAGAAGACATTATAAACTATTTACCAACTGTCATGTTTCGTGGGACACACTGTACCTTGCAAACATGCAAGGAGAAAATAAGCCCAAAAAATCTCAACTTTTATCTTTGCAAAGACAGTAACCAGAGGCCGAATTTGAAGAATTAGAGCCGCGGCTCAAATTTTGGTGGTTCCACTTAAATTTGTATAAAATTTTTCAATATTTAAGCCGGCACTCAATTGAAACCGGTTTTTGGGGGATTGAGACGCTGCTTTAGTTCATTAAATTCGGACACGGGATGTTCAACATATTTTGTAATTAAAATAATATCATCTGTTTTAATATGTTATTAAATATGTTTTGACTGCAGAAAACTATCTTAATTCTGTATGGTGTGAAATTTTTAAAAAGTTGACGGGACGATTATTTCATTTAGAATTGATCTGAAATAATAGTCTCTAAAACTTTTTTTCAGAATTTCACCCCAATGGTTCTGAGTAGCACATTTTTTATTTGGTTTAAAGGATTTTCAATTTTTTTAAAATGATTTTTCATTTTCATCAGCACCATGGAAGGTTCCGTAAGGCTTTTACGAGTTAAAATTGATCAGGAACTAATTGATCTGCTCTAAAATTTATTAAACTTCTAAATTTCTAGGTTTTGATCAAACTTCATCAGATCAGATTCAGTCAATTGAATCCCATATTTACGTTCAGCAGCCTTCACAGGAGGAGAAGAATATTCAGTTTCTAAACAATCAAGGAACTGAAATCAATAAAAATTCACATTTTAGTTTTTTTTTAACCGGCAACTTGGCCTATCAGATTTATTAAACAGCGATAGGCAGCTTATCTACAGGGTGTCCAACGAAACATGACATTTGGTAAATAGTTTTAAATGTATTCTTCCATAATTTTTTAAGTAGTTTGATACCAAAGAGAATAATAAAGAATATTATATGTATATATATATAAAATAGTAAATTTGATTTTAAAGTCAAACATATTTGAGCAAAAGAAATTTTTTAACGAAATAAACTGCGAAAAGTCTTTAATATCTAATACAGTATATGGAAGAAGACATACGTTAAACTATTCACCAACTTTCATGTTTCGTGGGACACCCTGTAGGTCTAATGTTCTAGTTCACTCTCTGCAAGATGTCAAATAGTTAAATTGTCATAATACAACTTTTTCTTAATATTTATAATGCTCATCTCAAATTCTAATTTATTAAGTTTTAAAATTTGATTTTATTCGAATATAAATCATAGTTTAAAATCTACTCATCTTCCAATTTTCATGAAAAAACCCTAAAATAATTATTTTAACACGGTAAAATCTTGAAATGTTACCTTACATCTTTGCAACCTGATTGTGTAAAAGTTGATATTTCAAATTCTGACTATTTGATTTTGCATAAGTTCAAAATCCCATAGTTTAAATTTCAAAAACCTTCAGCATCCGGTTTCAAAGAAATCAGTAAATAAATTTTGCGGCGATCGAGTAATCAGTTCATTTTCCGACAAATTTTGCTTAAAATCAATCAATATAAGAAAGTTCTTCGCTCAAATATAATTATGTCTACTAAAGCTTGCCAAACGCCTGGACCAAATTGGCTAAAATTTTGTTAGGAACTGGGCAAAGGTATCTTGGGGGTAACAAATACATTTTTTTTCTTCAAAATTTTAATTATTTTATGATAGTTTTTTTCAAAATTCGATTTTTTTTATTTCCACGGGCAACGCCGGGCACTTCAACTAGTATAGAATAAAAATATGATATTGATTTGTATGTAGAACCGAGACACCCAGTAGATTCGAATTCAGGTATATTTGAACAAATCAAACAGCAAAATTTTTCTAAAATAAATTTTTCAAATTTTTCCTTCTCAATATTTATATTTCTGAGAAAAGGTGGTTCAGTTACTCCGATATATTAATATTAAGAAAATAGCAGAAACTGGAGGTTCGGATGCTAGCATAGCGTTTAAATAAAGCTTTAAACTGAGCGTATACGGAAGAATAATAGTTGGGTCCTTTTTTGGTTAAAACCCCAATTTATGTTATTTATTTTCAGATTCACCTTCCAGCAACTCCTGGAGCACACCCATCCCATCCTTCCCTTCATCCCCTCTCCTCTTCTCCCCTACCACCCCCCTTATCTCCCCCACCTCCTGGACTGCTCCCTACTATCCCCCTGATAGTCCTGCTCCCACCCCCACAACCTGTGCTACTCCCTTCCTATCTGCTTCAACTAGTTTCACTCTGATCTCTTCGTTCCCATCCTCACCTAACTATCTCACACCGTCACAGAGCAGTGTAAGCTTTTATTAATAATGTCAGAAATTTGTTCAGGGGGGGGAGGTAAAAACATCGTCTTTACAGGGGGGCTTAGAACCGTTTGATGTCTTAAAACTCTTCGAAAATCAACGATTTTACTGATCATAGCCCCCCTGGATTACGTCTCCCTAGTATAAAAACAGGAATTTTATCGTAATAATTACTCAGATAAAAGTTTAATGGTACCGTGGATTGACTTGTACATGTCTCTCTATACTTTTGAAACTTGTAAACCCTCTTGCATACTTCACACCCAAGGAACCCAAGCTTAGATTCAGAGCACATTTACTTCTGCTTTTGCACAGGAAGGTTTCAATTCAGATCTCACTGTGCAGGGTGTCCCAATAAACATGGTAATTAAGAGACGACTTGAAAATCATCTTCGATTTCCAATAGATGATAAATGACATAAAGTGTATCAAAGAATGCATGTCTCATGAGCTTTACAAAATGTGGTCTGCCTTCTTTGTATCTTCAAAATTGACGAGATAATAAACGTTTCAACGACTTTGTTGGTTTTAATAAATTAAAATCGGGAAACATTTCTTAATATTTCCGTAAATGAAGTTGCAGAATCGGAAACCCACATTTTGGAATTCCTAAGACCAGTAGTTTAAATTTATGTAAATTTATGTAAAATTATGTTCATGTCATAACACCGTACGGAACAATGACGATAAAGAAGTCGTCACTTAATTCCAATATTTATTGGGACACCCTGTATAATTCTTATTTAGTTATTTTAATTTTTTTTAAATAATTCAAACTAAAGCAGTTCAAAATAATTTCATATTGTACAGCCAAAATAATGCAAGCATTTTTTCCTTTGAATAGGTGCACGTTATAGATGTAGCACACATATCATCAGCAATCAGCAATCAGCTGGTTCGTTTTGGAGAGTTTTTTGACTTTTAAAAATATAATGAATTTTCACCAATTTCAAAATTATTAATTCTAAACATTTGCTTTTCTTACCCTTGACATTTTCACAAGTCGACAATTTCCCAAAGGTTAGGTTAGGCCCTTTGAGGCGCCGCCAAAGGCTTCTATGGGGACCGAGTACTGCGGCTAGGATGTGCTAGGGCCCGAGCGCCGCAGCTAGAACATGCTGGGGCTGAGTACTGCGGCTAGGAGAGACTTGGGAAGTTCCCGCTTGGGAAATTACATTTTTGGGAAGTCGCTACTTGGGAAAATAGTTGCCATTTGGGAAAGATCCTATGGGAAAGTACCTTACATCAAATTATGACCCTGAGAGAAAATATATGCAAAAAAAGATCCTAAACTAACTTTTGAAAATGCTCGTTTTTGCTAGGTTTTGCAATTTTGTAAACTTTAACAGAATACAATTATAAAGCGTTGGAAGTTCTAATAGAGTTTATTTCTAATGATTTTTATATTAGTTAGACACCCTTGCACTGTCTCGTCATAGTTCCTTCTACAGTTGTAGAAATAGTCCTACTCCTCCTACCAGAGATAGCATTCAGGGTAGGTAAACTACAGGGTGTCCAGAGAGTGAGGGAACCCCATGGTGCAGACCGTGCCTCCCGGATTTTCTATGCAGAACGCCATACAGCACATCTTTTTTTAAATCTTGGTTTTTATGTGTTAGGAAGAATTTTTAACAAGTTTGTTTGACACAGTGGCAGAAGAACTTTACTAAATATCAGAGTTCTTTATAGATTGCCATGATTAGAAATCGACTCAAAAAGGTGGTTTTTAAGATTTATACTAAATCTAAAAACATTTCATACGCAGAAAGGAAGATATTTGGAGCAATATTTCTGGAGGAAAATTAAATTGTTTTGTTGTAATGATTGATTAATTTGAAAAATTTTAATAAATTATCAAAATTTTCTATTTCAATAAAAGAATTATAAAAAAGGATCGCTTAAATCTAAGATTATAAAAGATATAATAGCCATAATAAGGCACTTTTTAATAATTAATAAATGCTTCTTATCTTTGATAACCCTCTCATGCCACTGTGACTACTGACTATGTCAAAACATTTGTAAAACATCTTTTATTTAAACTTAAAACTCAACTTGAATAAATCTGATTTAGAACGCAGGCACATTTTAACGTATTGCAAACGCTATTACTGTATAGCGGATGCTCCGACTGCTTGGCAAATATGGGGGGCTCTCACGCTGCATAGCGGAGGCTCATAGCGGCTAGGGGTTCCCACTCTAGTCCAGCAACACGATAATAATAACGGTTAATCGATCCTTTTCATGAAATTAATCGATCCTTTTGATGCAATTAATCGATCCTTTTGATGCAATTAATCGATCCTTTTCATGCAATTAATCGATCCTTTTCATGAAATTAATCGATCCTTTTCATGCAATTAATCGATCCTTTTCATGCAATTAATCGATCTCCTTTTCATGCAATTAATCGATCCTTTTCATGAAATTAATCGATCCTTTTCATGCAATTAATCGATCCTTTTGATGCAATTAATCGATCCTTTTCATGAAATTAATCGATCCTTTTCATGCAATTAATCGATCCTTTTAATGCAATTAATCAATCCTTTTCATGAAATTAATCGATCATTTTCAATCAATTCAGTCTTTAATTTGTCCTTGCTCATAACATTGTACTCTGCGCAGGGGGGTTCTAATTCTTGTATTTTTAACAGAAGCCTAGGTTTTCTTATAAGCTACAGACTTGGGTTTGGGTCAATTTTTCTAATTTTGATGCAGTTTTAGGAACAATATCTCCATGGCTAACTAGAGTCGAAATTTTTGATGATACCACCTCATCAGCCATTCTTGATAAAAACTGTAGTTCTTGGCTACGCCAGTTTTTTTCCTTTAATAATTTGCGAAAAAAGGCTCAAGGCTTTGATTTGATTTCTATAAAATTTTGAATTTTTTTAGGCGAGTATTCTCCTCACTGCGGGGAAGATGTTCATTGGTCTGTAGCTTGCTCTTGCTCTCATTTCCCCTTTCAGACTACTCCAGTATAATACGTCTACTCCTACTTTCCAGACAACTCCAGTATAATACAATAGTCTACTTCTACTTTCCAGACAACTCCAGTATAATAAAATAGTCTACTCCTACTTTCCAGACTACTCCAGTATAATACAATAGTCTACTCCTACTTTCCAGACTACTCCAGTATAATAGAATAGTCTACTTCTACTTTCCAGACTACTCCAGTATAATAGAGTAGTCTACTTCTACTTTCCAGACTACTCCAGCATAATACAATAGTCTCCTCCTACTTTCCAGACTACTCCAATATAATAGAATAGTCTACTTCTACTTTCCAGACTACTCCAGTATAATAGAATAGTCTACTTCTACTTTCCAGACTACTCCAGTTTAATACAATAGTCTACTCCTACTTTCCAGACTACTCCAGCATAATACAATAGTCTACTTCTACTTTCCAGACTACTCCAGTATAATACAATAGTCTACTTCTACTTTCCAGACTACTCCAGTATAATACAATAGTCTCCTCCTACTTTCCAGACTACTCCAGTTTAATACAATAGTCTACTCCTACTTTCCAGACTACTCCAGTATAATACAATAGTCTACTCCTACTATCCAGACTACTCCAGTATCATACAATAGTCTACTTCTACTATCCAGGCTACTCCAGTATAATATAATAGTCTACTCCTACTTTCCAGACTACTCCAGTATAATACAATAGTCTACTCCGTGAAGGGGTGAATCCCCTAAAACTCATTATTTACATTTTTTCAGGGGGTGGGGAAGTGTATATGTATAATAAACTAAAACATACTAAGGCTGTTGTACTGTGTACATGATAATAAACCAATTGGTGCCAAATGACATAAGGATATTGTGTATTCCTATATACCGATTTGCTGTTGTTTTGTATTTTGTACAATTGTTATAGTTGCCCAGTGAAAACAAGAAGAACCAGTTCTATGGTGCCAATTGTGAAATTATGTATAATCATTGTTTATAAAATGAATAAAATGTAGGCCTTGTTTTTAACTTTACTTTAAATTTTCAACTTTAAATGATATATTTAAAAACTGGGCTAGGTAATATTTGTGACTTTTAACAACGTTAAAACCTTTGCCTGATCTCCATAGGAATAGGATTCTAGAAAAATGAAGATATCTTTTAAAACAATATTTAGATAAAAGTTAGTTATGAATCGGATATGTCCCCAATTGAATTTACAACTGCAGTTTCTTTTATCATAAATAAATAAATAAATAAAATCTGTAATTCGCTCTCTAGTCTCTTTCTAGGAAAAGCCCGTGTATGATTTAAATGATCGACCAGAGGACGTCACCAACTGCGTACGTGTTAATTACCTATTATATTCGAGATTGAGTCCAGTAAAGAAGTGCTTTTCAAGATTAATTTGTACAAAGAGAAATACCAGGAAACGACTTATTACTGATGCTTTATCTGAGTAATCTGTACTATTCAAAAAGTAATTTTGATGAAACAATAATTAAAAATCAGCATGAACAGGAACACATGATGCAAATGATAACTGAACTCAGTCTGAATTACAGTTAGACTTGGCGCTTGATCTCGATATCAACTGTGAGCACTTATAATCTTGAGCCCTACAGTTTAGCTATCCCTGGAATCCCGTTTACTACAAGATATGGTAGATTAATCAAATTAATCCATTTATCTACACTTATTCCAAAGATTCACATAAAAGTTCTAGCATCTGGTCTTTAAAGTTGCAAGTTGCTAAAGTAGGATTTTTAATTTTTAATATTTCTGCAGCTCAAAGGGACTGTAAGCGTAATTTCAAGTGAACTTCCATCTAAAGCGGGATATCCCTAATTCTCAACTGTACCCTTTAAACTTTAGACTGATCAGGGATGTGGGATGACAAACTTTTCCTTATTTATATCTACAGAATTAAACGCTGGGCCTGCAAGCTGTTAAATATTTATGAAATATTAATATTTACTTTCTACAATTATTCACAATCGTATTCCTCAAAACTGCGTTGGACAAATTTTCTAAATTTTCCAGGAAAAAATGTGACGTCATCCGCGTTGAGTTCACACAGCACGCTTGTGTACACTCAACATCCCTTTTGAAATGGAAGGTTACTTGAAATCACGGTTAAAGTCCCTTTAAGAAAAGATTCTTAAATGTAGCATAGAAAAACTCAAATAATAATATATAAAATTTAAAGAAAAAACAGTAAACATGTTTATTAACAAAACAAATTCACAAAAACTCTTAAATCACATAATTACGACAAAATGTCAATAATTTGCAATTCGAATTTTTACATTCTTTTAAATATTATTTTCTCAAGGGAGGGGGGGGGGGGGGTTAAACGAATAAAATATTCTTATATTTCAATAAAATAATGAAATTTCGTTAATATCATGTGAAGAATGCACTCATTAGATAAGTGTTTATTTAACGGGAAAAAAATTATTCCGTTTTTTTTTCGGCTGAAATTGTGAGAAACTCAAAATCTAATTTTTAATATTTTCAAAAAACGAAGAAAAATCATCCTGTCCAAAACTGATCCCTGACCCCCATAAGGTAATACGAAATTTTCTACTTTTAGAACTGGATAGTGGATACCAAGATTTTTAAATACTCATTTATATTAACATTTAACTTTGGTATAAATTTAACTAAAACTATATAATACATGTTCAGATTGTTCAATATCAGATCAAATTACAGATTATTTAAGAATAGGAAAGTTCTTCTTGCTCCAACAAAAACATTTAAACCTGAAAAAAACATTTGATAAAAAAATATTGAAATAAACCAGTAAACAAACGCTCTATGATAGTTGACAATGCGTTTTGAGATTAAAACAATAATTAAAAATACTATCAATATTTAGTAACAATAAGAATAAAAAATATTAATCTTTTAGATGATTTAAGAACTGCGATTGTTAACATAAATCAACACTTTATTTATGCATTAAAACACCTCATCGTAAAAAACGCATTTTGAAATTTTATATTTTTATTTATCATTAAAACAAATGTTACTGACTGAACTGAAGGAAATGCAGTCTACAATGTGTATTGTGTACAGAATATCTAAACCTGAATTTACAGTTGTTTGAAATTATGTCAAAGAGATATAAAATTTTATTTCGAAAAAAGTGGGCAATAAGAATTTTCTATTATGTTTGTGAAAAAATAAAGAAAACAAACTTTTCGAGATTAATTTTGAATCTTAAATCTTTTTTTCTTTGTTATGGTATGAATAAATCCAATAGATCGTGAAAGTAAATATCAAATAAATTGTTTTTCGAAGAAAGAGAAGAAATCTAATGTTTCTCTTAAAACCATATAATATATATATATTTACTAAATAGATCGTCTTAGAACTGGAAGAAGTTGAAGTTTTCAGAAAAAAAATTCCAATCCAATCATTTAATTCAATCCAAGAACAAAAGTTCAAAAAACAAACAAAAAAAACTGGGGTGTATCTAGTAAACCTTGTATTCTAAGGGTGTATCCAGTATACCTTGTATTCTAAGTGTGTATCCAGTATACCTTGTATCCTGAAGGTGTATCCAATAAACCTTGTAGCCTGAGGTTTGCATAAAGGTGTATCCAGTATACCTTGTATCATGAGGGTGTATCCTGTATACCTTGTATCCTTAGGTTTGCATAAAGGTATATCCAGTAAACCTTGTATCCTGAGGGTGTATCCTGTATACCTTGTATCCTTAGGTTTGCATAAAGGTATATCCAGTAAACCTTGTATCCTGAGGGTGTACCCAGTATACCTAGGGTGTATCCTGAGGGCTGCATAAAGGTGTATTCAGTATACCTGAGGTGTATTCTGAGGGCTGCGTAAAGATGTACCCAGTATAACTGGGATGTATCCTAAGAGCTGCGTAAAGGTGAATCCAGTATAATTGGGATGTATCCTAAGGGCTGCAAAAAGGTGTATATCAGTATACCTGAGGTGTATCCTGAGGTCTGCATTAGGGTGTATCCAGTATAACTGGAATGTATCCAAGGGCTACATAAAGGTGTATCCAGTATACCTGGGGTGTATCCTGAGGGCTGCATAAAGGTGTATCCAGTATACCTGGGGTGTATCCTGAGGGCTGCATAAAGGTGTATCCAGTATACCTGGGGTGTATCCTGAGGGCTGCATAAAGGTGTATCCAGTATACCTGGGGTGTATCCTGAGGGCTGCATAAAGGTGTATCCAGTATACCTGGGGTGTATCCTGAGGGCTGCATAAAGGTGTATCCAGACAGAAGTTAAAGGAAAGAGAGAGCGGAAAAACTGTCTGCACTGGATCCAGTAGAAGAACTTCAACTAATCAAAATACAAGAAATTGAATGAAAAGATGAGACTTTAATGACAAACCATAAAATTATTCAAAAACCGAAATGATGAGACTATGAGTTAAGTAAGTGTAGACATAGACCTATAAAAAACTGTGTAGTTTCTGGTAGGTTACCATGTATAACAAATTACAAGTATCACAATATTTCTAAATATTTCTAAAAAACAAAATTTAGAATGATAAACTAAAAAGTATGCAAAATACCTGTTTGATTAAGAGCTAGGGTTGTTTGCTTGATTTTACTGGTCTCCTCATATATTCTTTGTTTCTGATCATTCAAGCTCAGTACAGTTACTCTACAATATAGATCAGTACAGTACAATAAGGTATATGACAGTACAGTGTAGTACAACAAAACTTCCCGCGTATATTCTCCGTTTCCGATCATTTGAGCCCAGTACACTTACTCTACAATATAGATCAGTAAAGTACAATAAGGTAAATGACAGTGAAGTACAGTACAGTACAGTACATTACAGTACAATAAAACTTCCCTCATGTATTCTCTGTTTCTGAATATTTAAGCTCAATACAACTACTCTACAATATAGATTAGTACAGTACAATAAGGTACATGACACTGTAGTACAGTACAGTACACAACAGTACAGTACAGCACAGTACAATAAAACTTCACATATATTCTCTGTTTCTGATCATTCAAGCTCAGTACAGTTACTCTACAATGTTGTACAGTACAGTAAATGCAGTACAAATCAAATAAAATTGAATCATATAAAATCAGGCTCTTAGGGACGCCTTACTACCACATTTACAATCTTGAAATGACTACAATACGGTAGGGTACATGACAGTATAGTACAGTACATAAGGTATAGTACTGTAAAATAATACTCTTCTCATGTATTCTTTGTTTATGATCATTCAAACTCAGTACAATATAGATAATTAGAGATTAGAATATTACAGTACAGTACAGTACAGTACAGTACAGTACAGTACAGAATAGTATAGTACAGAATAGTACAGTAAAGTACAGTACAGTACAGTACAGTAAAATACAATCCAGTTCAGTGAAGTACCAAATATTGTAGTTCAGTTAGGTACTGTGCAGTACAGTACAGAAATTATATTAGAGTACTATAAACCTTCTCTCATATATGGAAACTCCGCACACTTGAGCTAGTATATAATAAATATTTACCTGTAGGATATATTTCTTGATCCATGATTTGAAAGCAAAGCTTCATGATCCGACAATCCGCTTCTGTAAACCAAAGACGGAAAAAAGTTGTCAAATATGCAAATACTTGCAGTAGTAATATTCAGTTTATTTCAAGAACCGGGCCGAATATTGACCAGCTAGGGCAAGCAGTACAGTACAATTAAAGACTATGTAAGGCAAACCGGGACGGTACGCCAAATGAATGATCCCCTTTTAATAAAAAATGTTAAATAATTATTATTAAGAATTTAGAAAATCTTTCACACTGCGTATAATTAACCCATAAGACACTATTTGCTTTATTGCTAAGTTCGAAGATAAAAGAAATTTATAAATACTCGAACCAGAAATCTAATTTATGAATACTCGAACCAGAAATCTAATTTATAAATACTCGAACCAGAAATCTAATTTATAAATACTCGAACCAGAAATCTAATTTAGATGATTTGACCGGATTATGCCCGGTTTAAACTAGTCCGGTCGGTTTAGTAAAGAAAAAATTAAAGTTTACTAAATTATGAGATTTTTGACAACATTCCTTTTTAAAGTGAGTCTGTAGTTTTCATATGTTATGATGAGATCCATTCCACTGTTGAAACCTAAACAATCAAATCAAATCAAATCAAATCAAATCAAATCAAATCAAATCAAATCAAATCAAATCAAATTCAGAGTCTTAGGGATCGAATTTCTTTCTAACAACCATTCCCCAAAATCAAGTGACTATACTTATCAGCATTGAAACATTTTGTATATTTTCTCGTTTTTAAAGTTTAATTTGTCGTTAATATACAACACGTTGAGAATAAGAACGAGGGGAAGATTAAAGGACGACCTGCCTGTCCCCTGGGAGTATTAAAGACGACCTACCTATTCCCCGGGAGGATTATAGACGACCTCCATGTCACCTGGGAAAATTAATGATGACCTACCTGTCCATCTCCACATGTGTTGACCGTCAACCTGCAGTATCCGCCCACACCTAATATTAAAAAAAAAATATTATTTTCATTTTGATGAATGAAAATTTTCCATGGGGAATATATTTTAAGTAGAAGATGGGAGGGGGGGAGGGAAATAAAAAACTGACACATTTTTCCATTCTTTCTGATACTTTAGTCCAAAAATAATTTTTTTTGACGCTTTGTGCAATGTGCATAGATAAGTTATACCTGAGGAAGAAACTGATTTTAAGGATCAATAATAAATATACCTATAGCATTCACGGTTAAACGTTTCTTCGCTTAAGTTAGATGGACCCTTATCAATACCTGAATAGTATCATTATCATAATCTTTGTTGTATTATTGAATTAACTGTCAATACGTTCAATTTAAATTTCCTCGCAAAAATTTATCTATTTCTCGAAAATTAAAAATTTCTGCGAAAACCTAATTCATGGAATTAAGAAAACACATAAAAATTTACCCTTGAAAATATCAACCCTGGCAGTAATCCAGGTAAATGAAAATACAACGATATCAAAATGATGATTCAAGGAAATCTGATATTGTTGATAAAACTGGGAATTCTGGATTTAATATAAATTATTTTGAACATTGACAATAAGAGAATAATGTAAATGAATGACAATGAAAAAGTAGCATCAAATATACAATTCTAAAGCATCTTATGAGAAAATGTAGCAACAAGTAAACACGAAGTTGTCTAATGAAAAAGTAGCAAAGACCTTTATGGAGTTGCATGTCTTATTCACAACAGTAGCCTTTTGTCTGTTCAAGGGTGAATGAAATATACATTTTTTGTTACCGAAAATTCATTATTTTCAATTGTGGTTTCTCTTCTCAGGAAATTATCCAAAAAACAAATCGAGAATTTCCCTCATTTTTAATCCGATTAAAGTTTTAATAGGTACCATCTTGAATCGGACATGAACCATAGAATTTAATAATTTAAAAACATCTGCAAGGAAAATAATAGTAACCGACATCTTATTCTCATCATATTCTTAACAATGACATCCATCTTGTGTAGAAAATATTACTAACCTGAATCTATTCTTAGCAATGACATCCATCTTGTGTAGAAAACACTGGATAACCACGAATTCGGGATTATCCTGAGAATTGAGAAACGTTATATTTAATCCTAAGGTCGAAGCATTTGAATAAGATGGCGCTAATCTAAACGAATGAACTAGATATGAACTGCTGCAACTTTAAACGTGAAAGGTAAGTGCTTAATCCCACAAGTTGACGACATGGCTCAAATATCATTTGTTCCACTTAAAATTGTATTAAATGTTTTAAGATTTAAGCCGGCGCTCAATTAAAACAGGATTTTTCTGCGAATTTGAGACGCGGCTCAAATTGATTAAATTCAGACTCAGTTGGTTCGTTTTTGCCAATATTTCCTTTCAAGGTCAAAATAAAACACATAGTGTAAGAAAAGAAAATGTTTATAAATTTATTTATTCTAAACTTTGTTGTTGCAAAGTAACATTTAGACCTTGACAGAAAAAAAATTCAAACGATACGAAAAAATCCCAAAACGATGCAAAAGCAAAAATTATAACGATCGTTTTTCAATTTTTATTTTTGGATGAAGATATTGGAAAGTTTAAGAAAAGCAAACTTCAGCAGAATACAGGTTTCAAATCTTGGATATTTTTTCAAGGAAACAAAGCGATTAAAAATAAATTTTGTTTTCTTCTGCTGATTCCTCTGACCCTTTAAATCCTACAAAACCTTGTTTTCTAATTCAAGTTTGTAAACGAAAAAACGAATAAATAAATGAATTTATAAATACCTATCTGATACTAGACTTTCTAAATCAAGATGATGGTTAATCATATGAACAATCCTCATATTCCTAAACATCACAAAAAGTACTTAAAAAATATTATTTGATGAAACATGTTTTTGGAAATGCAATTTATTGTAATTGTAAGTTTAAGCAAGGATGTCAACGCCAAAATGTGTAATATTAAACGAACCCGTGCTTAGGATCCAATTAATTTTGATGCGGATCCGGATCCTGGATCCGCACTGGAAAAAAATGGATCTGGATCCAGGTTACTTCTTACAAGATTTAGTGAATTTTTTAACAAAGCAAAAATTTTCAATTTTGTCTAATTTTTTTTGCTCATTTTTGTTTATATATTTTAATATGGTTTATATGTTTATATATTTTTTGTTAAATGTTTATATTTCTCTTTTATTAATAGTTCAGATTTTGGTTTAGAGAGTAAAAAAGTTTTTTTGCAGTTGCAGTTAGTTGATATTTTGCCCCTTGGCTCCAAATCCGTGGATCCGCATATTTTTGCGGATCAGGATCCAGACCCAGAAAGCAAAAATCTTGCGGATCCAACGGGATCCTAAGCACTGAAAGGAACTATATCCCCATGTGAATCAGAATTTCCCTCTCAAATGAGACTTCACTCAAATCCCAGTTCCTGTAAATCTGTATTGTACCTGAAAACTGCTAGGTATGGTTTGGCGGATTCAGAGTCCAGAAAATACTCGGTTCTGCCGTTCTTGTACCTGAAAACTGCTAGGTATGGTTTGGCGGATTCAGAGTCCAGAAAATACTCGGTTCTGCCGTTCTTGTACCTGAAAACTGCTAGGTATGGTTTGGCGGATTCAGAGTCCAGAAAATACTCGGTTCTGCCGTTCTTCCCACTTGTCGCCATCGACCGAAAATATTTATGGGACTCATTTACGCTCTCCTGAACAGATACAAAGTTACCCACAAAGAATGAGACTTCAGAGACGACTGTACCGAATGAAAACTATCTGTTTCCTAAACATTTATGATTCTTTTAAACTGTAAACTGGTTTCTTTCTTTGCGAAATCATTAAAAGGTCATACAAAGACCATCCAAAGAACATCTGTAATTCCACCTTTGAATCGTCATAGTTAAAGAGTTTCAGGTCGTCTTTACAAGCATAAGTTTTGTGGGTCCCTCTGTGTAAAAAAATATATTTTCCCCTCTCATTTCTAAGAAGTTAAAAAGATCTTTCAAAAATGTCATTTAACGAATTTTAAAATTGAACAATTTCTTAAAATAAAACGTGTTGAACTGCAGAGTTCAATAAGGATGTGAAGGAAAGGTCCCAAACCACAATTTTAATTAAGTTTATCATGAGTGTATTTATCGTGAAAATTAAAAGATTTGACCAGAAAAATCCGCGAAAATGTGATTTAATTGGAGAAATATGAAAACATGGCAACTTGAAAATCAACAGTTGAAAGCTTAAATTGTTTTTAAAAAAGGGAGGCGCCCTAAAAGCCTTGTAAATTAAAGATATTCATCATCTAATATTAAGATAGACGTGACATTAAATTAAAAAGATGATCATCTGGTTCTTCAGCTTTTTTTTGGAGAGGGTACTTATGTCTATCAAAAAAAAAACGTTCTGAAGGGCTGGGATTTGTTTACTAAGGATATAAAGTGAGAATATTCTAGACAAATAATGTACAATGTACATAATTACCCTAGGTTCAGTATCACAGGCAGGATGGAGCTTCAGGTAAACCCAGAGTCGGAGCAGTACATATACAGAGAACTCTGTACAGTGTACATAATAAACACAATGATAATAATAATTAGAATAAAAGTAATAATAATGATCCCTTGATAAAGAGAAGTACATAGACAAAAACTCGTAACAGAGGAGTAAATCTAGACAGAGAACTCTTGACATAGAGGAATAGAGACAGAGAACTCATGACATAGAGGAGTAGAGACAGAGAACTCTTGACATAGAGTAGAGACAGAGAACTCTTGACATAGAGAAGTAGAGATAGAACTCTTGACATAGGAGTAATGGTAAAACAATTTCTTAATAGCGAGATTACAAAGAGCGAGACTAAGTACATAGACAGAGAAATCTTTACATCAAAGGTATGCATTTTCTTTTCCCACCCTTTATAAATCCTCATCCCCAAATGTTAAAATTATTTGCAAATTTTTGTACGGTTTTATTTTCTGAATTGGTGGAAATAAATGATTTTTTGTGTAAAAAGTATCAAACAGATAAAAATACTTGTCTTTTGATGTTTAAATTTTTTATTTCCCCCAACGCTTCAAAAATCATGCAATTCTTGAATATATACACACATATATATATATAGCACTGCTTTACATAGAAGAGAGGCAAGAGTAAGTAAAAAATATCTAATAAATATTAGTATATTTTACCAGTTTGTATAACAAAAAGATGAGGAGATCCAATTAACTGCCCCATCAGACTGGGGGGGATTTCTCGTAATCTAATAACAATATCAATAATAAAAATATATTAGTTTGGTGAATTAATGTTTTTAATCTGAAACAATATTTTTTTGATATTAATCTTTTTTTAGTTCTAACCTGAGAGGATTATCAGGCATAATACTAAGAAGGTTTGCGAGCAGCCAGTTTATACAGGACTTTGTCAGCTCTACACATCCATACCTTACACTAAACATAGGACTTAATCAGCTCTACATATCCATACCTTACACTAAACATAGGACTTAATCAGCTCTACATATCCATACCTTACACTAAACATAGGACTTAGTCAGCTGTAAACATCCATACCTTACACTAAACATAGGACTTAATCAGCTCTACATATCCATACATTATACTAAACATAGGACTTAGTCAGCTGTAAACATCCATACCTTACACTAAACATAGGACTTAGTCAGCTGTACACATCCATACCTTACACTAAACATAGGACTTACTCAGCTGTACACATTCATACCCTACACTAAACATAGGACTTAGTCAGCTGTAAACATCCATACCTTACACTAAACATAGGACTTAGTCAGCTGTACACATCCATACCTTACACTAAACATAGGACTTACTCAGCTGTACACATTCATACCCTACACTAAACATAGGACTTAGTCAGCTGTGAACATACATACCTTACACTAAACATAGGACTTAGTCAACTCTACACATTCATACCTTACACTAAACATAGGACTTAATCAGCTCTACATATCCATACATTACACTAAACATAGGACTTAGTCAACTGTAAACATCCATACCTTACACTACACATAGGACTTAGTCAGCTGTACACATCCATACCTTACACTAAACATAGGACTTACTCAGCTGTACACATTCATACCCTACACTAAACATAGGACTTAGTCAGCTGTAAACATCCATACCTTACACTAAACATAGGACTTACTCAGCTGTACACATTCATACCCTACACTAAACATAGGACTTAGTCAGCTGTAAACATCCATACCTTACACTAAACATAGGACTTAGTCAACTCTACACATTCATACCTTACACTAAACATAGGACTTAGTCAGCTCTACACACACACATCCCTTACACTAAACATAGGACTTAGTCAGCTGTACACATTCATACCCTACACTAAACATAGGAATTAGTCAGCTGTACACATTCATACCCTACACTAAACATAGGACTTAGTCAGCTCTACACATCCATACCTTACACTAAACATAGGACTTAGTTAGATCTAAACATCCATAACTTACACTAAACATAGGACTTAGTTAGCTCTAAACATCCATACCTTACAATAAACATACAGGGTGGCCAAAACTTTTTTTAACAAATCCGTACAAAAATCCGTACATTTTCAGAAGAAATCCGTACAATCCGTACAATTTTCGAAAAAAAATCCGTACAATCCGGTTGTAATATCTGAATNNNNAACTTACACTAAACATAGGACTTAGTTAGCTCTAAACATCCATAACTTACACTAAACATAGGACTTAGTTAGCTCTAAACATCAATACGTTTCATTTCTAAAAGGTTTGTATTGCAGGTGGGGTCAATGTTTTAATTTGTTTACCTGCTGTCATGGTATTGAACAACGGTTTGTATGTTAATTGTCTCATCCATAATAACTGAAATAATGATAATATGATTGTTTCCATTTTAACTGAAATAATAATAATAATATTAATTGTTTCCATTATTACTATCAAAATAATAAAAATATTGATAATCCCTATACATATAAAGCACTGACCTATACATTGTGAGATAAGACCATCTAGTTGGAAGAGAGATGCTGCAGCTAGAACAGAAACGACATCACTGGGTTCTATTGTTACATCATCCTTTAATAAAGACCAATTTTCTGATAACCTTCTTCAAAACAATATTTTACCTGACGTGGACCCCCCCCCCCTAAATGCGGAGTCACCTCTTCATTTTTTGATCAATCTTAATGAAAGTTTGCACATGGGAATTCATTCGTGTTCCATTTTAGTAGATGGATCAATAAAACTACCCTAAAGAATTATCCAATGGATCGATAAAACTACCATATATAATGATTAAATGAATAAATAAACCTATCCTATACAATGATCAAATGGATCAATAAACCTACCCTATACAATGATCAAATCCATTGGATCAATAAATAACCCTATTGAATACTCCAATGGATCAATAAACCAACCCTATTGAATACTCCAATGGATCAATAAAGCAACCTATTGAATACTCCAATGGATTAATAAACCAACCCTATTGAATACTCCAATGGATCAATAAAGCAACCTATTGAATACTCCAATGGATTAATAAACCTACCCTATAGAATGATCCTATGAATTAATAAAGCTACCCTATTGAATACTCCAATGGATTAATAAACCAACCCTATTGAATACTCCAATGGATCAATAAAGCAACCTATTGAATACTCCAATGGATTAATAAATCTACCCTATAGAATGATCCTATGAATTAATAAACCTACCCTATTGAATACTCCAATGGATTAATAAACCTACCCTATAGAATGATCCTATGAATTAATAAACCTACCCTATTGAATACTCCAATAGATTAATAAACCTACCCTATAGAATGATCCCAGTGTGATATGAAGAGAATTAATATTAATATTAGGATCATCTATCTGAATGTTGATTGTCTCTTTAGAACCATCCGTCCATCTAAATGCGGAAAAAATCATTGAAAAACCCAGTCATTTCTGCATGGAACTACCAGCTGATCGATCATTTTTTTCAAAACAATATCAAAGATATCGGTTTCTGTTTATAGTATTAAAATTCGTTTTATTGCACTTGTATAAAGGATGAAAATTCAAAAGCGACAAATTTTTTGGTTAATACTTTAAGAAAGGCGCTTAATAAAGATTGATGTATAGTACACTTTCAAGATAGTTGTATAATACACTTTCAAGATTGATGTATAGTAAACTTTCAAGATAGATGTACTGTATAGTACACTTTCAAGACAGATGAACAGTTCACTTTCAAGATAGATGAATAGTACACTTCCAAGATTGATGTATAGTACACTTTCAAGATTGATGTATAGTTCACTTTCAAGATTGATGTATAGTAAACTTTTAAGATTGATGTATAGTACACTTTCAAGATTGATGTATAGTACACTTTCAACATAAATGTAAAGCACACTTTCAAGATTGATGTATAGCACACTTTCAAGATTGATGTATAGTACACTTTCAAGATTGATGTATAGTACACTTTCAACATAGATGTATAGCACACTTTCAAGATAGATGTTTAGTACACTTTCAAGATTGATGTATAGTACACTTTCAAGATTGATGTATAGTACACTTTCAAGATAGATGTATAGTACACTTTCAACATAGATGTATAGTACACTTCCAAGATAAGATGTATAGTACACTTTCAAGAAAGATGTATAGTACACTCTCAAGATTGATGTATACTGTATGGTACACTTTCAAGATAAATGTATTGTACACTTTCAAGATAGATGTATAGTACACATTCAAGATTGATGTTTAGTTCACTTTCAGGATTGATGTGTATAGTACACTTTCAAGATTGATGTATAGTACACATTCCAAGATTTATGTATAGTTCAATTACAAGATAGATGAATAGTATGGATGTATAGTTCACTTTCAAGATTGATGCATAGTACACTTTCAAGATAGATGTATAGCACACTTCCAAGATTGATGTATAGTACACTTCCAAGATAGATGTATAGTACACTTTCAAGATAGATGTATAGTACACTTTCAAGATAGATGTAAAGTTCACTTTCAGGATTGATGTATATAAAACTTTCAAGATAGATGAAAAGTACACTTTCAAGATTGATGTACAGAACACTTTCAGGATTCTGTATTGTACACTTTAAAAATTCTGTATTGTACACTTTAAAGTTTTATGTATAGTAAACTGTAGAGTAAGATTTACAATAAACTTCAAAGTTTGCTGTATGGTACACTGTATAGTTTAATGCAAAGTATTAGTACACTGTAAAGTTTGATGTGTAACACTTTAAAGTACAGTACAATGTAAATTTTAATGTATAGTACACTGTAAAGTACTGTTAAATAATGTATTGTACTGTACAAAAATGTATTGTACTGTACAATAATGTATTTTACTGTACAATAATGTATTTCACTGAACAATAATGTACTACAGTATACAATAATGTACTATACTGTACAATAATGTAAAGAACCTAATCTACATACTAACCTTCCCGAGAACATGGATGCAAAGTATGCAGACTGAAAGTGCAGGATCAAATCATTTTGATTGAAAAACTGACAAAAATAGAAAATTTGGAGAAATATCTTCTCTTCTTAGAATCGGGACAGAATCATTAACATATTAATGGATACGTTGAACATTGTTAACGAATTTGAAAAGCAGCCTAGGTTGTCGTCTTCCATCAACAATCAATAAATACAAAGAGTACAGAGTAGAGAATTACACGCAGTACCTCTGCGCAAGCTTTACTTACATTGTGGCGTCATTATCATCGTGGTATCAGACAAATACAGCCGCCCACCCTCCTCCCATTCTCTATGTCTATCATTCAGAAGAGGGTTTAACACCCTCTCTTTTCTATGGGTCCTGAAGGGAGCTGCCAACCGGGCCAGTCAACCCAACTGACCGGCCACAGATGGTCACTTAAGGTAAAAGTCATAAAGGTTGACCGAATCAGCCAGCAAGCTTTGAAAGTAGAATACTTCCAGGCAGGCGCGGCTGACAAAGCAGCCACAGCTTGCTAACATCTACTTTTTTACTCTACAGAGGTTTGGTCCATCACCATCGCCGAATTTTCAGTATAGATTACAGGAGGACCTTACAAGTTCCGGAGTAGGATTACCCTTCTTAGTTAGCCAGAATTGTCACATACAGGCTTATGAGAAAAGAGGGCAGAGTACAAGAACCTTTTACTTAAGGAAGACGAAAAAAATGTAGAGCTTTTTCAAAGATGTAATATTCAGACTTTAAAAGTGGAAAAAGGAATTATATAGATTTTTAAAATTAAATGAAAGTGTAGTAAATCAATAATTGAATACATTTATTTTATGAATTATATATTTAATTAAAAAAATGAATGAATTACAAGTGAAAGTATATGAATGGTGAATGACAATCGAAGAAATTAATATCAAGAAATTAGATAACGAATTCATATCATATCATATCAAGCAGCTAGGGAGGTGTCCAAAAGCTCCTTGACTAAACGATTCATGAAAGATGAGAAAAGATCGAATTGCAAATGTAACGTAAATGAATAAGTAAAAAAATAACTGAAAAATGAATGTTAAGTGAAGGTTAAACTCTGAATAGGTGAATGAATGAATGAATGAATGGATGAGTTTATAAAAGAAAGGATGAAAGGGAGGAAGGATGAATGAATGAATGAATGATTGATCTTGTGCCTGACAGAGGTAGAGTTTGTGAAGCTTCCATGATGTTCCCAAAGCAGTCAGTGTGACGTCACTATCCTTGCCATCCTAGATAGTTATAGTTACAGTCCTATCCTTCCCATCCTAAATAGTTATAGTTACAGTCCTATCCTTCTCATCCTAGATAGTTATAGTTACAGTCCTATCCTTCTCGTCCTAGATAGTTATAGTTATAGTTACAGTCCTATCCTTTCCATCCTAGATAGTTATAGTTACAGTCCTATCCTTCCCATCCTAGATAGTTATAGTTAAAGTCCTATCCTTCCCTTCCAAAAAAATGTTTTAGTTACAGTCCTATCCTTCTCATCCTAGATAGTTATAGTTACAGTCCTATCCTTCTCATCCTAGATAGTTATAGTTACAGTCAAAAAAATGTTTTAGTTACAGTCCTATCCTTCTCATCCTAGATAGTTATAGTTACAGTCCTATCCTTCTCATCCTAGATAGTTATAGTTACAGTCATATCCTTCCCATCCTAGATAGTTATAGTTACAGTCCTATCCTTCTCATCTTAGATAGTTATAGTTACTCCTATCCTTCTTATTCTAGATAGTTGTAGTTACAGTCCTATCCTTCTCATCCTAGATAGTTATAGTTACAGGCCTATCCTTCTCATCCTAGATAGTTATAGTTACAGTCATATCCTTCCCATCCTAGATAGTTATAGTTACAGTCCTATCCTTCTCATCTTAAGATAGTTATAGTTACAGTCCTATCCTTCTTATTCTAGATAGTTGTAGTTACAGTCCTATCCTTCTCATCCTAGATAGTTATGGTTACAGTCCTATCCTTCTCTTCCTAGATAGTTATAGTTACAGTCCTATCCTTCCCATCCTAGATAGTTATAGTCACAGTCCTATCCTTCTCATCCTAGATAGTTATAGTTAAAGTCCTATCCTTCCCATCCTAGATAATTATAGTCCTATCCTTCTCATCCTAGATAGTTAAAATTAACGTCCTATCCTTCTCATCCTAGATAGTTATAGGTTTAAGTCCTATCCTTCCCTTCCTAAATAGTTATAGTTACAGTCCTATCCTTCCCATCCTAGATAGTTATAGTTACAGTCCTATCTTTCTCATCCTAGATAGTTATAGTTACAGTCTTATCCTTCTCATCCTAGATAGTTATAGTTAAAGTCCTATACTTCTCATCCTAGATAGTTATAGTTACAGTCATATCCTTCTCATCCTAAATAGTTATAGTTGCAGTCCTATCCTTCTCATCCTAGATAGTTATAGTTACAGTCATATTCTTCCAATCTTAGATAGTTATAGTTACAGTCTTATCCTTTTCATCCTTGATAGTTATAGTTACAGTCCTATCAATTCCATCCTAGATAGTTTTATTTACACTTCTATCCTTTCCATCCTAAATAAACGAATAAACGCATAAACGCATAAACGAATAAATGAATAAATCAATAAATCTATGAATAAAATGAATGATAAGATGAATATAAATAACCTGGAAAAGATTATCAAATATATATTGTGAAGTAGTTTTTAATATTTTCTTCTTAGGAGTGGAGAGGAGTCGGTCTACTCAATATTCACAATAAATAAAAAAATATTTGGAAATTTTAAAATATTTGTTAAAGAATTTTACAGTTTCAATATTTTTTACCCATCCATGCAAATTGATTTCGAAACCTTTGGAGAAATAAAACATCCAAACCATTAAAGTTTCTCAAAAATATAAACTTAAAAAACATGAAAAATTACTTATTTCAATGATTGATGTGAATTGTTCCTAATTCTTCTTTTTCAATATCCTCAGAACGTTTCCTTTTCCTTTTTCTTACTTCTACTGGGATTAAGTAAAATAAAAAAGTAAAAAATACTCTTTTGCAAAGAAAATATTTTAGGAACGATTTAAGACTTTTTAATGATGGGGGNGGGGGGGGAGTCTTTTTGTTGTGAGCTATATTTAATTACAGTTGGCTCCAAATTTTAGGTATTTTACTTTCCTCTAAATTGAATATCCTCTAACTCTGAACTTTCACCAACTCCCCTAGTAAAAAATTAATAAAAAATATAATTTAAATAATTTTCATCCCAACAGATTTCCCAAGAGATTGGATGTTAAAACGAGTGAAGGTAAGGTAAGATAAAGTTTATTGCTAAAAATACACAGACAGTTATAATGTTACAGGCAAAAATCTATTGACTATAGTTTAAAATTTGCCAAACCAGAGGCCGAATTTAAAGATTTTGAGCCGCGGCTTAAATATGGTTGGTTCCACTTAAAATTGTATTCAATTTTTCAACATTTAAGCCGGCGCTCAATTAACACTTGTTTTGGGGGGATTTGGAACTCAGATTAAATTTATTAAATTCGGACAATGAAAATACAATTAGCATAAATTTGCAAGTTATGGTAACACCTGACAGCCCTTTATTCACCTTAGTTCACCAGGCGAGGGTTGAACTGGTTTACTCGTTAGTCCTCCCATTCTTTCTGAAACTCTTCAATAGCTAAAAAATAAACATATATTTACAAACAATTAGCGAAAAAAAATAGATTTAATAACGATAAAAAAGGAGAAAGAACACAATAGAAAATTACAAGACAAATTTAAGGATTTGAATTTTTTTAACATTCACTTGATATTTTTTGCTTTTAACTATCTTTTTGAACTATTTAATTTTCCTGAAATATCTTCTGCTGGATTGGACAGGTTAGACGTTTTAACTTAAGAAAATATATTTGTACATTTATGCATATTTAACTTTTTTATATTGCAAACTTTAGGTTTTGGTTTTATTTTTTAACATGAGAAATATTAATTTCAACAAACGACATAAATTGATGTATTTTAAGAGTTTCAACATTTTTTGCAATCAAATCAAATCAAACTAATTATATTAGAACTACAATTTTATTAATAGAGAGATTGCTTCGAAGCATCAATTGGTTTGATTTAAAAATTATATCTTAGTTTTATTCATAAATTTATTATCAGAAGAATGCTTAAAGGGACTGTGTGCAGACGTAATATTAAAACGACCCTCCATTTTTAGATTGGCCTTCCGATTGAAAACGGTAGCCATAGATGCTTTGCCTGGTCAGGAATAAATAAGATATCACACGGGTTTCTTTTAAAAAATTTAATAAATTTATTGTAGCTTCTTTGTAAAAGGAACTTTCGGTTTTATGCTACAGAAACAAAGAAGTCACTTAACAGAATTTAACACATACAAGAAAAACGACGACAGCTTCCAGATTATTAATCAGATAGCGTGTTAAATGTTACCGATGTGAATCGGACATGGCCCTCATTTAATAGAGGAGGAGTACTTGAAATTACAAACACAGTCTCTTTAAAACATTTAATAAGTAAAAAAATTAAACATATGCAATTTTCTCTTTACATTTTTTAAAAGGGCAAAATCGTTAAAGTGAATATTTTTAAATTTTAATTGCTACTCAGTCACTTTCCACAATTTTCAAGAAGTATATAAATATTTTGAATTGAAAAAGTTTAAGTTCGCCCTTTACTAATAAATAACATTCAATATCATGATTTATAAGTTACATTAGTTTTCTGCTTCAATATTTACAATAAAAAGCTCGTTTTTCTTCACAAATCAGTATTTTTACATTAATCAACAAACTCGTGGTTACATCAAGATATTTACAAGTTTACAAGTTATTAAAGTAATTTAAACTAAATGTAGCAAGCATTATCATTTCTTTGATCATTCTAAATTCGTAATATCTATAAATATAAGATGTTGAAGAACTAGAGAAGTCTGTGCTGGGTCAGCTGGTCGGTCAGTCTTATCTGCAATTTACAGGCGGGTAAATACCTCTGCAACAAAATGTCAGCAAATAATCGGAGGTCACGACTTTTTAGTGAAATAGCATGATCAACAAAGTTTAATCTCATTATCTCTGTAATAACTTAAAAATTTGGGAACTCAGTGCTGGATCACTTAAATTTTATTTATCCCTGTCGGCTATGACCATCATGGGATATCTTAGAAATTATTTAATACGTAGGGAGATACAGAAATTCACAATAAAAATTGACCTCTGGACTAAAAAGACGATTTTAAAAGAGGGGTTATCTATGATAAATCTAGGAAAACATTGTACATCCATTACACCGAAAAAATGTAATAAACATCAGCAACATCAACAAAAGTCCATAAAATATGGCACAGATAGTATTCAAGTCCATAAAATCTCTCACAAATAGTTTCTAGGTTTATGTAATCTGCCAAAAATAGTATCTAAGTCCGTAAAATCTCCCACAAGTAGTAAGAAAGTCCAAAAAACAACAAATAGTATCTTAGTCCATAAAATCTCCCACAAGTAGTATGAAAGTCCAAAAAACAACAAAAAATAGTATCTTAGTCCATAAAATCTCCCACAATGTGAGGTTGTTCACCTGACACAAAATCTTGAAATGAACCCCTAGAACGTACAATATCAGATTTGATCAAATATAAATAAAGGTTTAAATTGAAAACCAAGAGCTATGAATACCTTGTGAAGAAAGCAATGGATTCGTTCCGTTTCTTGTTTAACAGGGCAGCTAATGAACTGTCCTGAAATAAAAACTTGTTTTGACAACGGTGAAGTAATTTCTCTCTTCCTTTTCATTTTCTTATTCTAGTTTATCAAAACAGTTTATTCGCGCTTCCTTTATCCTCAGTCATTTTTAGCTAAACCACTTATTTTTCTAACTTTAATTCATGGCTCTTACATTTTATTTTTTTTGTTTTTCCTTTATACAAGTGTACAGTAGGACCCCCATAAATATGTGGAATAAGAAGACGAATTTAAGTAGTCCAATGGGATGATAACAGCAATTGCGCAGTGTAGGCAGACCCATTTCACTTAATAAGTAGATTTTTAGGCTTCTGGTAAAACAACAAAATAAAATTCACACAAGATTGCTTTTTCACAGTTTTATAGGTCCCTCTTTTTTAGGGCATGGATTTGCACTTAAAGAATACATATTTTTTATCAAACCAAACAGGCAAGACACAAATGTGCGGACTGCGTACTGAACGCATGGAACCGGAAAGGTGCGTCTTTATTCTAAAAATTTTTTATGATAAAAGTATTCGACTCAGTACTCGTTGGGGCCTGAAAAGGGGGGCATAGCCCCCCCCCCTCCATTAATTACGCCATTTAACCTACCTGTGGTAGAAGAGGTATATTTAGTATCTTCTCTATTGCTTGAATCCAACCCGATCTATCAGTTTCAGTCTCAGCAGAAAACTAAAAATATAATTATCATAACACCAGTGCTTGGGATAAATTTAGGTTTGAATTTTGAGAGCAAAACATTTTTGTTTGATACTTGATCCAACCTAAAAGAAATATCTAACTAAAATAAATAACTAACCTGAAAGAAATATCTAACCTAAAAGAAATATCTAACCTGAAAGAAATATCTAACCTGGAAAGCCCGGTCTGGTGTATGAAGAGTGAACCCGTATCCGCTCTCCCGAAACCCTAAAATGAATAAAAGTATAAAATAGATTTAGACATTTTTCTTAAACCAAGTGTTAAAAACCATTGGTTCAATCATCAGAAGTCAAATATTTACACAATTTTACAAAATACATAAAATCAAACATCAAATCATTAGCTTTTCTACAAGAAACTGTTAATTTTTTGTTAACAAGTAGTAAAGTTATATATCTGAGCATTTAAACAAGAGAACTGTTCTCACAAAGCAGAAAGTTGAGTTTATGCAGCCATGGTAACCAAACCATGGTAACCAAATATTTTGTCTCACTCGAAAAGTGTTTAATTGTGATAATTTACTACCCTGTTATCAACAGAAGAAATGCCAAAGTCACTTTAATAAAAGAAACTACTATAGAAAATAACAACAAATGATAAAAACAAAGCTTTTAACAGGAACCGTCCCCAAACGAACATGCCACTCTATGGGGCCGCTTGAAACAACGGCAAGTGTCCGTTAAAAGCATTTATAGCACTTAATACTAAGTACTTACAAAGGGAAATTTAAACTCTATTTCGTAATGTACTGTACTGTATTGTACTGAACTGACCTGGTACAAACCCCGGTACAACACTGTATCCAGAGGTAATATGTCCTAGAAAGATTTCACCCTAAAAAATAAAATTTGTTATGTATTAATTCTTTCAAAAAGAAAAATTATAAATGACAACTGAAGATTTAAAGAAAGCTGTTGTGAACAATTGATTTTAACACCCCTAAAAAATATATTTAAAGGGACTGTCACTGATATCGATAAACAAGGTTCTTATTTGTACCAATTTGTGTATGAACTGCCCATTTCAAACTGGGAAAAAATCTACCAATACATGGTAAAAGATGCAAAATCGAAAAAAACTTACCAATTTAGTGGGAATCTATCTGCATTTAAAATGAACTGTAAAAAAAACTCCATTCTTCTCTTATATCCCGCCCACCTCCCCCCAACGGGCGCATGTTAACTTGAGATAAGCAATATAATAAGATGTTTAAAGGGACTGTAAGCGTAATTTAAAGTGACCCTCCATGCAAAGATGGTAATGCCCGATATACAACGGTACTCTACAATTGTCTGGTTCAGAATGCCCGATATACAACGGTACTCTACAATTGTCTGGTTCAGAATAAAATATATTTGCATTTTTTTATTCATTTAAACTGTTTTTCATTTGTAGTCTCTTAATATAAGCGACTAGCGCATTTCTTGCTTATTAGAAGCTATGGAGAAATTGACAGAAATGAACAGTTTTTGAGTCAGAAAACTACATTAATTTCCACATTTTTGATCAGATTTTAAGGTTACAATGGTGCCGTTGTAAATCGAACTTTACTATCTTTGCATGGATAGTCAATTTAATATTGACTGTTATCACCTAGAAGATATTAGGACTTCTTTAATTAAATTCTACTAATATTCAGATAAACCAATGAAAAATGAAGTAATTAGAAATAAGGAAAGGGAAATAGGGGTTATTTACATTTTACACTGACAATCAGTGAAACCTATAAAACTAAAGAAGGAAGATTGAATTTAAAGCAACTTTATGTATATTGTATATTATGTATTTTGAAACAGATCTGCGTACACTCACAATTCCTTTGTATCACATTTATCTAGTTCACCAGTCGTCTACGTTCCGCAGTTATATGGACCTCACAGAAAGTGGACAACTCAGAGACTCAAGAAATAAAATTGTGAACAATGCTCGATATCCCGACGAATCGCTCTTTTCAAAAATTGATAATTTAAAAACTAGTTTTAAAGTGATGAAGTGTTACCAAATCAAAAAGAACAATAAAATATTCCTTGATGGTTTAAGAAGATATTTTTATTTACGCAATATTTAAGATTTAATTAAGATAATTTACAATAGCATTACCATTGTACAATGCACATCATGCATAAGGATAAAATATGATCATCACTTATCAGCCTATCCCTATTTATCCCTATAGAAAACGGGATTATATTCCCTATTTTTGCTTTGATAAAGGCTTTAAGGGTACCATTGTGAATCTGACATGCCACTCTAAAAATAGAGGGGTTATTTGAAAACCTCATGTTTAGGTTGACCCACCTTAGGACTGGGTCCTGTCTTGTAGAGTATTCCTTCGCGGATAAAATCCTGAGAAAGATGATCCAGTAGTTCACACTCGGCTGCCTACAAACATTTAGACGAATCAATAATAATGTTTTTAATAATCAAATCATCAAATCAAAACATATTTTACAGGGATTGCAAGAGGCATCCTTGTTTTGTGTTAAGAGTTTCAATTCCTGCCCAATTTCTGGATTTTCAGCCGGATCTTTATCTTACATTTGAATAATACCAAAAAGAAAGCCCCTAGATCAAACAAACATATGCAACATTTGCATTATACTACTACGAAAAGGTCAAATTTATTAAATATTACTGGTCCAACTTTGTGACCTCGTAGCTCCTCTAGTTTTGATTTGACGCACAAAAATCAGAAAAAGCAAATTAATCCAGTGACATGATAGAAATTCATAATATTTTTCTTCTTCTCAACAGTTCTTTAATTAGCAGAGTTATGCTTTAAAACTAATTACTGGAGTTTGACGTGGTATCCAGTATCTCAATAATACCCCTTTAAAACTTATAAATCTTAATGTTTCTAACTGTATTTGCTCATTGCCATTAAATATTTTGCCCTGGAATTTATTATTTTAATCTCCTCCCACTGAAAATAAAAAATTTGAAGCCGTGGATTTGATTTTGAAGTTAAATTATTTTTGTATGTGTGTTTATTTTTCCAATTAAAGAAATTATTGGGAAGTTTGTTAATTTTGAACTATCGTTACTTTCCTGAATTAATAAATAAAAATAAATAAAACTAGATAAAAAGTAATATTTGTGAAAACATGATTTCTAATGAAAAGTTTAAAAATGAAGTATATTTACCGCTGGGTATGCTACTTGAAGTAAATGAAGTATATTTACTGCTGGGTATGCTACTTGAAGTAAATGAAGTATATTTACCGCTGGGTATGCTACTTGAAGTAAATGAAGTTTACAGCATCTGATAGCATGATACCTAGATACAAATATGAAATAGATATATTTATTACTAGCTGGAGTGTCCGACGTTGCCCAGGTTTATATTTCTTTTAACTTCAATATGATATCAGATAGAAACATTTTGAGACTTCTATATTTCTTGTTTTTCATTCTTTCTTCTTGATCTTCCATTCCTTGTCCATCCTTCAATCATACTTTGGCTAATTTTGAAAATAAAAATAAATGAATTTTTTGGATGTTTTCTGCAGCTAGCCAAATTGCAGAGGCAGAACTATTTTTTTAGCCCTGTATCTATATTCTATATATTGAGAGTGGCAAGGTTACTCTCCCCCTTATTTGTTTTTAAATTTTGCTTCAGTCATGATACTGTGTCAGCTCCTGCATTCCTAGCAATAAAATTTTCTTGATGGAGGGGGAGAGGGGTGAGGGGGGCGTTTTACAAATTTTCCAGTTATTTATCTCGAGTAGGACATAGAGGAGGGATGGGACGTCTGCCATCCTGTGTATTTGTCTTTAATCGCTATCGGTGAAAAAAAATATGATAGTGTAAAGGTCAAATCCTCATCTAATTATTCCTGTTTATAGTTTTCTTCTTCTTTCTTGTTTATCTTGCTTTAAGCACCCATCTCTACTGTCAAGAGATTTCCCTTTCCACTTTTTTCTGTTCAATTTATTTTTTCTTCTTGTTTCTTGTTTCTTGTTTTTACACTTTAAGGCCTTTCCAAATAGTTCTTTTATCATCGAGTTGTGGAGCAGGTAGGAGAGAGATAAGGAGGTTTGTAGGAAGAAGGGTATAGGGGATTTTTCCCTGTGTTTCTTTATTTTATACTGTTTCCCAGTTAGGGGAATTTAGGAATTTACCCATAACTGCACCCCATATGCAAAATGGGGAGTTGTGATCCCTGAAAGCTCTCTTGAGAGGTATCTTCCATGGCAGTCCAGTCCTCACATCTGGTATTGTGTGCATGGCTTGTATTCCCAGGAGGGGTTAAACTTCTCTTTCAGTGCACCAAGCTGAAGATGACCAGGTTTATATAATTATACCTAGTCATAGTTACTCCCGCGCTTGGTATTAAATCATAATTTTAGCCGAAGTAGGCGGCGTACCCAGTGGATTATCAAAAACTTAAATTTGTTAAAACCTTTTATCAGCCCCGTACATAACCACATAACCACATTTCCCAATCCTTTAAAATGACATAAAAAATTAAAAACGTAAAGGATGGATTTGTTTGATGTCAGACTTATTATCTAGAAATGAGATTGTTTACATTGGTCTGGTTTGTTACACTTTTGTGCTGTGAATTTTGGGATCAAGCATACATTTAATTCCTCTTCGATTGTCCGTGATGGTCATACTGTGCAGGGATAAAATAGAATTAAAGACCAAACATTATCGAGATCAAGCGTTCCATATGGACGATACTACAGTACTACACACTAAACTTCCGACTTTTGACAAGAGAATAATTTTTGTTTTAAATAACTGATCAGAGCTGAAAACTTTAGAATGGTGGATATCAAGATCAATGCTCGATCTCTTCTTTTCATCAACCCTAAGATTAACTTAGTCTTTAGATTAAATTCTAATGAGTAGAGATGGACTCTAACTTTTGAAAAACCGGTTTTTATTTTTTCCGCGTTTGGACAAACGCAAGTTTTTTTATTAATGTTTATTAAGACTTACCTTCGAGCAAGGTTATAATGAAAGGAAAGTTAATTGCAGTTGCGCATACTCTGCTTGCATATTAAAACCAGTTCTCTCTTGGCGGAATTTGTAAACAAGAATAGATGCATCAGTGTTCGTTTAGTATCCGAGGAAGTTAAAAGCATTTTTTTGTAATTTTGATAATTACGTAATAGTTTCCTATTATGACCAGAATATTTCATTGATTTTTTGTGAAAGATGGATCCATGTCAGGCTTCGACATCCGTCTTGTGTTTACATTACCACCCAGAAACAGAACACTGCAGTACAGAAGATGCGTACACCTCTGAAATAACTTTCCTTGCATAACCTTATAACTAAAGTACTCAAATGTGATAAATAGTTTTTTTGATAAGTTCATTCTAACATGATTTAATTTATATTTGTTTAAATGCTCTTAAATGATAATTTACCAATTAACAACAGTTTGAGGATCATCATGATAAACATATATATGCCGGGTGCTACCATCCTAAAATAAGAAAAAAATCAATTTAGCTCTAATAATTTTTTAAATGTAACTTCCAAATGAAGCTTTGGGTTTTATAAGTGCCTGAGGTCCATTCGATCCTCTTAGGATGTTGCTTTTTTATTAAATATTCAAAAATATTTTACTCATAGCTCTATTTCGCATAATATATGCAGTGCGAAATACTAAATTTTAGATTTTTAGGACTACTGTGTGCTTTAATAACAAAACAGTTTTATTATAAAAGCATTTTAATTGCTTTCAACTCTGGCCATTCAAAAAAGTCAAAACAGAAGCCATTGTACTTTTTGTAAGATGATCTGTTTCCGACATACAATTTTCAGTGATATTTATCATGCTATTTCTATAATCTTATTTTCTAGTTAAAGGGCATTATAAGCTTCACAGGAAATGAATGAATGAACTTTTGCATTTCTCAGAAGGATTTAATCATTAAATATCATTTGTTCCAAAAAGTAAGTTAACTGGATTTTAAGTAACTTAAAAAATTTCCGTTTTAAAATTCAAAACGTCCCGTCTTGTGCTCTTATGAGAAAACGTATAGTGTACAGTCTACAATGACCATAGAGTACGTATAGTGTACACTCTGAGTATTCAGAGCTGAAAACTTTAGAATGGATAAACTTTAATCCTGACTTCTTGATCCGAATATCCACTGTGGAAACTTTTCATTTTAGTCCTTAATCCACTCTTTTTCTCTCTCCTTGGATATCCGTTAATTGTTTTCTCCAAAGAGAATATTTCTGTTCTCTCATTGGTTGCCCGCTTTTCTATGATTGGCTGCTACAGTTTCTCAGATGATTAAATATTAATTTGAATTTTTTCATACACTTTTAAGATAATCTTGCAAGATTATGTTAATCTGGAGATTAAGAAAAAGAGTGGATTAAGCCTTAATCCCGATATCCACCATTCTAAAGTTCCCAGCTCTGAGCTTGAAACTTAAAACAGAGTATCATTATGAAGCACAGTATCAGACATCCGGTTTCAAAAATGGGGTCAGGCAGTTTTGAAAAATACTAAAATTGTTGTTAAGAAATATTATTTCATGTGGTTTCTACATATTTTCTTACTGTTATCTGATTTCTTAAATCAAAATCTACGCAAATGCATTGACCCCAAAAAGGAAACTTGGGAGTTTCGTTCAAGACCCCTCGAAGAATGAAAGTGGGCCATATATCCAAAGAGTCAATGCTGTGGGAAGATTGAGAGTTAAAAAATCATAAATATCTGAGAAATTCTTGATGTCAAATCCGCTAACAAAAACTCCCAAAAAATGCGAAATTAGGGCAAAAAGGCAAAAGATCATTTAAAATGATTTTATTGTTGTACTCATCTACCCCTCNAATCGGCCTCCTTTCTACAAAGTTTTGAATCATGTGACAATGATTACGTTTCTTACCTTAAGATAATCAATCTGAAGGGAGTTAGGGAATGGAATTTTTGAAGGAGCAAACTCTACATTAATGTCTGAAATCTTCACTATTGCCTAAAAATAGACGGAAAAATAAAAATGGCAAAATATCAACAAACTATGATGCAATGAAACCAGAAAACAAAGTTAAGACTAAAATTCCACTAATTTTGACCGTTTTCTTAATATGAAAAATCAGTAAAATAATACGTTTTTTCAATCTTAATGCAAAGTGAAAAATTTAAAACATATTTTTCTTATTCGAATTTTTCTAAGCACGAACTTTCCATAAAACTAAGATAAAGTTCGAATTGGAATTTTCTTTTAAATTTTTTTTAAATTTTATTGCGCATTTTTTTATTTAAATTTGTATGCGCATTTTCTTCTTCTTAACTCACCTTGGGATCCTTCCTATCTTTTACATAGTACTTCAGCGTGTTATCAATCTCACTGGGATCAAACAAATCAAAAATTTTACATTTACATTCGGGAGTTTATGCCAGCATGAGAAATAAAAACTTCATATTTTAATATTTTTTAATTTTGAATTTGCCTTAGTACGAATTTTCTCGGCAGAAATTGATTATTTTCTCGTCCTTTCTTCATGAGGTATCCTTCCATAAACCCTGGACAAACAAAAATTTTTGTTTAAAAAAATAAATTACAAGTGTATCCAATCCAATCCATAACAATAATTCATGTATTAACATTACAAAAGACGAGATTAAGTCTTAATTTATAGAGTAATATTATGGGTAATGTTTTGATGGAAAAAATGAAGGAAAGGTAGCGAAAAGCAAAAATATTTGGCGCAGATTTGCAATGCGATTTTTTGAAGATTTGTTGTTATATCTCGTTCATTTGTCAATTGTTTCTTTTAATATTTTTGAATAGAATAGAAGAAATATTTTTCAATTTATTTCTAGAGAAAAATAGTTTTTTTTCTAAATGCGGATTTTTCTTCTTCTTTGTACTATAAAATAATTTGCATTTTGATGATCACAATAATATTTTTCAGCCTAAAACATGAACCGTGAACCCTACATAAGTCTATAAGAGTATTAAGGATGTGTAAAACATGAACCGTGAACCCTACATAAGAGTATTAATGATGTGTAAAACATGAACCATGAACCCTACATAAGTCTATAAGAGTATTAATGATGTGTAAAACATGAACCGTGAACCCTACATAAGTCTATAAGAGTATTAATGATGTGTAAAACATGAACCGTGAACCCTACATAAGTCTATAAGATGTGTAAAACAACGCTACAAAAAATAACTTATGGCATTTCTATGATTAGCTAGGAACAGAATTCAACAAATTCGCTTTTAGCGTAAAAAGGATATCGCTACATGTTAAAAGCTATAGACAGCCAAATAGATTATCAAGTACAATAGATGGCAACGTAGAGTTTGTACACTCTCAGTACAGCTGTATTCTTACGTCACAAGTGTCAACAGTTTTATGTGTCTGACTATATCATTAATAATAGTGATAGTAAAGTGCTTATCTTTCAGTAAAGTAAGTGCAATTTTATGTGTTCTTTATTTTCTGTTTTTACACTTTTTATTTAATCTTGGAAAACATGTAAACTAATTGGAGAACATGTTGTTTTCCTTGTTTTTGACACTTGTGACGTCATGTATAATTTGTCCATTTCTCTGTTGCCACCTATTGTACTTGATGATCTATTTGGAAACAACTGAGTTTTGTACATTAATGAATATCGTAATGTTTCCCGAATAGGTTAAGAGTGGTTTCCACAAACTATTTTTGTTACGCCAAGTAACCCTTAATATAAAGAGAGGCCTTCCTTTAAACTTTTATATGATAAATGATAAAAAGGTCATAATATTTATTGACTTCATATTCGTTTTTGATTTAAAAAAAATGTGAATCGTTCATACCACTGGTTTTCTTTAAATGGAGTATCATTTGAAATAACGTGAATAGTCCCTTGAATTCCTACCTGAAGTGTAGCTTTGTCTCTCAGGGTGAATAAATTCTTCTCTACTATACTTAGAGAATATATACTGTTCAACCAGAACCTTGAACATTCATTTATATATTTACAAATATATAAAGAACATCATCAGAATATATATATTTTTGATATTAGGCTTACCAATAATAACAAAATCTCCTAGTCCAGACGATGGCAACTATTTTTAAATTAAATTAACACGAAGAAAAATAGAAAATAATGAAAGAGATGAATAAGACAACGTTAAAGGGAGTGTTCGCGAAAAATGTATGGACGCTACGCTCTCCGGTACGAGTCGTGTTTAACCATTTTTTCCTGATAGGCGTAAAAGATAGACGTAAGATTTGTAGCGATCACCATCGAATTCGATTCGATGTTAGGACAAACCTCATTTTATTTTTCGCGAACACTTCCTTAACAATAAAATATAAAATAAACTTAAAACATAAAAAAGACATTTTTACAGTGACGAAAACCCTGTCTAAGAAAAATTATAATTTGAATATTCTTTTCTTTTGTAAACCCTGAAGAAAAGAAAAATTTAATTAATAGATTAAGAGAAGGTCGATTTCCAGAAATCCTTGAACAAAAAATAATGAACAAGAGGTTTCTTTTAATTAAAAATTATAACAAAAAAATCTTATAAAACAAAATTTAATATTGGAGAAGAGGGAGGAGTGGGGTGTACAGAGTTGAGAAGGAAGGTGTATTTTGTTGAGAAAAGGATGGATAAAGGAGGTGTTTACCTGAGGAGTATTTTTGTCTACTTTTCTATAAGACGGAGGAACCCATCTTTCATATTTGAGCTTGGAGTTCATATTTCCTATATCCTTTATCCGCGCAACCTAAACAAAATTATTTTTATTTAGTGCTAGCTTGGAAACCCAGCTTTGACTGGAAATTTTACTTTCTCTAAAAAGGCCAACCCACCCAATTAATAATTTTTAAACAGCGCTAAGAACATTCCCCTAGTTCTACTGAGTTCCCCAATCTTTCAAGATGTTCATGAGTTATGATCAGACAAACAAACAAACAATACTTCTTTATATATAGATAAGATCAATTTTGTTGACTTGAATGTTCTGACTGGAAAAAGAATAATCTAGACTAAGAATACGACTAGTATATATTCAACAAAATACGATGAAATAATCCTCTGAAGCATCAGATAAAATTGATAACTATAATTCTCACAAGAAAATAAAGTATTTTTAAATTATAAAGATTAGAAATTTCGATTCGTAGAACACGGGATTTAATCAAAATATTTAAATTATATGTAAATAATTATAATAATTTAGAATAACTTTAGAAATTGGATTTTTTATATGTATATTCTGTATAGATTCAATATAAATTACATTTTGGCGGGGGAGAAAAGAAAACATTTTTTCCTGAAATGTTAGACATCTATTTTACAATGATTCTCATTTGGATCATTAGAAAGACAAAAGTATGTAAATTGTACAATGTACATATTCATATTGTAATGTTTAAGCTGAAAATGTTTCGGCAAAGATAGAAATAAGTGTGAACCTATCAGGAAATTAAAGAAAATATTCCGTACAGTCGTCTTTGAACTCTTATTCTTTGCGGTTACCCCTGTATTAGCTAGCGTGAGATATTTGATTATAAAGAGAATTACGTCTTCGTCCAACCTATTCTAAGCATTTAACTGTTTTCATATTCATAATTACGTAGAATTGTGACGAAATATTCAAATGTTCTCGCTAAATATATTTCTCTAATTTGAAATGTCAAATGATATTTGAAGTTCATGTTATTTTAGGCCCTGTAGTGCCAGAACTGGCCACCAGGGGTTACAAATCCTTGTACGGTCCCGGCCCGGTACAGCTGACCTGGCGGGGGGGAGTTTCTGCGCTGGTCTTTTCCTGCGCAGCAGGTATTGTTTCTTCAGTCTTACACCTACCGCCGTACAGTCTTTTTTTTCAAATGTTTAAAAATCGGATAAAACGACCAATTCTAGGTTTAAAGTTAAAATGGGTTCATTACTAAAATATCTTGAGACCAATGAAACGTGGTGTTTTATTAGTTAAAGGAACTGATTCCTCGTCTCAAACAATAATTTTCTAATTCTTACATCTTAGCAACCTGATGTTATAGAATCTTTGAACTATTAACGTTGCTGATAAGTCAAAGTCTGGAATATGAATGATTTACACCATCAGGTTGCTAATACAACGAATAACTACCTGGGCGTCCTCCCATTGGTCCAGTTTAAGGTGTTTGATTTTACTAACTTGAGCTCCCATATGCCTAAAACATGAAGTTCAACCTAAGATCTGGTAGACTTTACTTGGTAGCAGATTTCATGGACTGACACTTTTTGATGGATGCCATGGACTTGAATGCTATTTTTTAAGAATAAGTTTGAATTTGCTGGGACTAAGATTCAAGTTTTCTAAGACAAAACCTTCAGATAATAATGATAATAATAATACCTTAAAAGTTTTTTTAGTGTCATGTCAACTAATCTTATGTTTCATTTTATTTTGAAAAGATTTAAAGGAACTGTAAGTGTAAGTTCAAGTGTAAATTAGATATCCATGTTTTGTTTCTATAAACTGATAATTTTCAATTGTGGTTTCTCAATGGAGAAATATTCAGAAAGATGATGCATCTTCCACACTTTTAATCAGATAAAGCTTTTAAGGCTCCATTAGAAAACCGGACATTGACATCTTTACATGGATGGTCACTTGAAATTACGCTTACAATCACTTTAAGAACTGACCTATGGCAAGCAGCACAGCGGGTACACAGGAATATACCGAGGTTGTATGAGGCCCATTCAGGACTTTCAAACCCACAGTCAGCACACGTACTGTTACCTGGACAATCAATCAATCAAGCAATCATTCAATCCAGCTTTAAAAATCAATTACCAAATTTGTTGATTTCCTAATTAAGCCACTGAAGAAAAAATTGGAACTTTGTAAGAACACTTTCATAAATTATAAAAAAACTGGTCTTTTGTAATTGTTTAGACAATTCCATTTTTTGGTTTTTAAAAAAATTTAGATAGATTAAGCATTTTTTTTGTGAAATAAAAAATCACCTGGTTTTTTCAACAGTTCCATGAGTAATCTACCATTTTTATCCGCCATCTTAGTTACGCTAAAAAAAACATCTTTACAACAAAACTTTTAAACTATTGTACACTTTGTCAGTCAACATCAGTTCCTGCTCAATTTTATTATAGTAAAGGGCAATAAAGTAAACATCGTGCAATAACGTTAAATATAGGAGCTATATATTATAGCAATGTACTGTAAAAGTTCAATTATTTCCCGGATTTTATCAAAAAAAAAAAAAAATAATTGTTTTTAAAGTCTTCTTTATTTATATTTTGCTTACTGGGAAGGTTTATGGGAGCTCAAAATTACAAAAATTGGTCTCCAACAGTTTAAAATTTTCGTAAAATTCTGAAAATCCATGAAAAATGATTGTAAATCCTCTGACAGATTAAGCAACAATTAAAAGTTGATAGCCTAGTTTAAACATTTGCCTAATAACACTTCTTGTAAAATTACCTGGAGGTATTTTAACAGGAATTTGTACTGTAGTCGGTGAGCTCAAGTTGGTTTATTGGTTTACATTCTGAAACCGGTCGTAATGAGTAAAACAACAAGTGCAAAATATGAAATTCTAATAGAAGTGCATATAATGATTCATAACTTCACATTTATCATGAGAATAGGTTGAAATTTAGAAACCGGACATTTTCTCAAATATTTCAAAGTTTGCACTAATAAAATTTACTTACAATTTATCACATAGAAACGTACAATAGTTTATCACAATCTTAAAACATACACGTCATGTCACTGAAAATTAAATGATGAACTAAAAATAAAAAGATTTCAGTTTTAAACATAATAGCATTTAGAATCTATATTCTCAAAATTCAGTCCATATTGATAGCAATATGTATTAGATCGGAAAAATATTAAATAATAATAACTAAGATACAATATTAAAATCTTAAGACTAAAATTGCATTACAATATCGTTAGAAATGCATCAGTGGTAAGAATTTAATAAATTTAATATATTCTTAAAATACTACAATCTAGTAAAATATAGAATTAACAACTAATCTTATTTATAAATTAGTATCTAAAAATTCCTCAACAAGAAGAGGAATTCTGGAGAAAACCTTGAAAATATAACTTTCAGGAGAAGTGTAGAAAATGAAAAGTGAAGATAAGAATGAATATGTTCGTATAACTACGTTTTATTTTTATTTTCTCAACATTTACGAGACATAAATTAGCCTGTATTTAATCAAATTGGGGACAGTATTTAGTATCAAATACAATGAGCAATCTGTAGAACACTAAAATACGAAAACAATTCCTACAATTTAATCTCATAGCAGAAAAATAAGTCTTATAGATACTTTGTCTCTTGCAGGAGAAACAAGAATACAACTTAAATATGGCATAAACAACAAACCATACGGTAACATTATGAAGATATGAGCTAAACCCTCATAAAAAATAATATTTTTTGGGGCTATTTAGAACAAAAAAAAACTATTTAGCGGTAAATTTATAAAAAAAAATTGATTTGGATTTGTTTGGAACTTTGTAAATAAATAAATACTGGGTCTTAATAGAGAATAACATTAAAAGATTAAAGAAAATAAATAACATCTTATTAACAATGATTAAAATCTGAAGATCAATGAGCTTGAAGATGATGAAGACCTTACGAACAATGAAGCTGCAGAAGATGAAGTTGCAGAGCAGAACAAGAACCATGATGATTAGAGAAGAACAAGAACTAAGGTGAACAGAGAAGAACAAGAACGATGATGATCAGAGCAGAACAAGAACCATGATAATCAGAGAAGAACAAGAACTATGATGATCAGAGAAGAACAAGAACGATGATGATCAGAGCAGAACAAGAACCATGATGATCAGAGAAGAACAAGAACCATGATGATCAGAGAAGAACAAGAGCTATGATGATCAGAGAAGAACAAGAACCATGATGATCAGAGAAGAACAAGAACTATGATGATCAGAGAAGAGCAAGAACCATGATTATCAGAGAAGAACAAGAACCATGATGATCAGACGAGAACAAGAACTATGATGATCTAGAGACCAATCAAACTACGGAAGATGAAGGTGCAGACAAGAACAAGAACTATGATGATCTAGAGACCAATGAAACTACGGAAGATGAAGGTGCAGACAAGAACAAGAACTATGATGATCTAGAGACCAAAGAAACTACAGAGGATGAAGATGAGAACGAGAACAAGAACTATGATGATCTAGAGACCAATGAAACTGCAGAAGATGAAGGTGCAGACAAGAACAAGAACTATGAAGAAAAGGGCCCAGGTGGAGGGTATTGTCGCTAACCGGGGTACATGGTGTACACACACCTAAACATATACAATATAAAATACATGTCCATTAGCTTGTCCGTCTATAAGTCCATCCGTCTATTAGTTGATATGTTGATATAGCTATCTGAAAAAGTCTCCTTCTGTCTTTCATTTAAAACGTACATCTATCTGCTCAGTGACAATCAATCTTTTTTATCTGTTTAAATGTCTATCCGTTAATTCGCAAATATGTCGATATCCATTAAGTCAATCTACCCTACAATATGTCGATCTATCTATCTACCTATCTATCTATCTATCTATCTATCTATCTATCTATCTATTTATCTAACGGTCTAACGGTTCTACAATCTATTTATCTATCAATCGAGTGGTTTATCTATCCTACATTCTATCTATTCATATGTCTATGCATCCTACAATCTGTCCTGTCTGTCCAGTCTGTCTGTCTGTCTATCTATATCAACCTGATGATCTACTGATATACTGTCCAGTCTGTCTATCTATCTATATATCTACCTGATGATCTACTGATATACTGACAACACTAGCATCTGTAAACCCTCTAGCTGGAGCTGATTCCTCTCCTGTAGGGAGAAACTCCAATCCTGATCCAGGAAACAGGCTATAATTTATAGGTAGGGCTCCACAATTTCTAAACTGACATTTTTTGAGGGAACCCAGGGGTATCCAGGGGGGGAAACAAAGGCTACAAAAAAAATCATTTTTTTTCATTCCACAGCAACGTAGGTCAGTTTTCAGATGTCTCAAACTCATTTCTTTTATTGAAAAAAAATGTATTTTTACTTTTAGTTTTCCTAAAATACGCTTAAGAAGAAAACACCTAAAATATGGCCATAATCTCGAGAAATACAACTAGTGCAATCTCATTTTTAACTAAACAACCAACTTCTGATGTTCAAAATCATGAACAGTCCCCTCGAGTCTTAGTTCAGTGAATAAATCATCAACGATTAAAGGAAGCCTATTTTCCTGTGATGAATGTTGTATGAGCATTCTTGACTCTTTTTAGAAGACTTAGGTTAAAAGCAGCAAAGATCTCAACAATACCCTGAAATAGTAAATTACATTACAATGGAGACCTTAGAAACCAGTACGGTACATGATATGTGTGTGATTATGTGAGATGAGATCTGCAAGAAGCCCCATCTTGGGCAACCCAGACCGCCTATACACCCAAGGGATGGGGGGGGGGTTACATTTTTTCTTTCTAAAGGGGGGGACTCAGCGAAAATTGGGGCCCCAAAACCCCCTGAAAAACATGGATTTAACTGACCCCCCTGAATACGCCTGGAGAAGAGTGAACGAAAGGGGGGGATTTCTGACAAAAACTTTTTTTTTTTTTAAAGTTTGAATACCTCAGACATGGATCCAGTTGCTACAAAGTTTCCGTTGTCACTTACTGCCAGGGCGGATAGGGTTAAACCAGGACTGAACACAAGAGAATAAAATACAGATAGGGTTAAACCAGGACAGAACAGAAGAGAATAAAATACAGATAGGGTTAAACCAGGACAGAACAGAAGAGAATAAAATACAAATAGGGTTAGACCAGGACTGAACAGAAGAGAATAAAATACAAATAGGGTTAAGCCAGGACTGAACACAAGAGAATAAAATACAGATAGGGTTAGACCAGGACTGAACACAAGAGAATAAAATACAGATAGGGTTTGACCAGGACTAAATAGAAGATCTAATAAAATACAGATAGGGTTAAGCCAGGACTGAACAGAAGAGAATAAAATACAGATAGGGTTAAGCCAGGACTGAACAGAAGAGAATAAAATACAAATTGAATTGACTACAAAAAAAAACAAGAAAATAGCAGAAAAAAAATCAAATGAAAAAAGATAGAAAAATCCAAAAAAAGTTTGGAACAGAAAAGGCAGAAAACATAGTAGAAAAGAAGAGAAATGATAATAAATTAAAGAAAATAGCCGAAAAGAAGAGAAAGGATAATAATCTTAAAAAATAGCCGAGAAGATGAAAAAAGATAAAAGATAATATTATTTTCACCTTTTAACCTGGTTTTCTACTGTATATGATTGAGAGTTCCATTTATGAAGTATAGCAGGGGCCTTGCTGTTCCCAACAGGATTGGAGATTGTGTATACTAAAATAAAGTATATTTAAGACAAAAAAATTGTAGAATATAATAATTTTCTCTTTTGTCTCTTCATGAGTTCACAACCAAACAAAACAAGAAAACCAAATTATCAAAAAATCCACTTTCTTATGCAAAATCAACTGTTAAATACGTTTCTTGTTGAAACAGGGTGCTTGGGATCCGGATCCGTTGGATCCGCAACATATTGGCTTCCTAGATCCAGATCCAGGTCCAGATCCGGAAAAATATGCGGATCCACGGATCCGAATCCAAGGTGCAAAATATCAACCAAAAACTGGAGCAAAAATCTTTTACGCTCAAAACCCAAATCTGTTAAAAAAAGAGAGCTTATCAAAAATTTCGTTCCCTGAATGTTTCATCAAGTTTTAGCATAAAAATAACGGGAAAAAAGAAAGAAAAATAATTTGAAATTTTTTCTTCTCTTTAGTAAATGCTCATGACCTGGATCCGGATCCATTTTTTCCAGTGAGGATCCAGGATCCGGGTCGAAATTAAATGGATCCTATTGACTGTTGAAAAGTGTTAGTTTTAGTGTTTAAAAATAATTCTTCTTAAATTTCATGCCGCTACGATTAATAAGCTTTCTTTTTGTAAGCTAAGACTGTTTTAAACTATAATTAACGTGAATGGAAAGAGTGATGTATCTTATCCCCCTCCTCCCTGGCAAAAAATACCCCCCCCCCACTTTTAGAATTTTATAAAGGCGTCATGTCGCCTCTCATTAGTTGTCCTCCCAATTTTCCAGATTAAGGTTACAAGTCCTTCAAGCCTGGTTACCTTTATACTTCTTGATATCCCCCTCAACACATCCAAACTTGATTCTCTTGAACATATACTTGATGTTACTTGGGGGCTCCCAGCCCAGCTCAGCATGCTTCTTCCCCTTCTTTATATCCCATACAAGAGCTCGTCTAAACCAACCAAATTGTTAAATAATAGATGTTTAACAGTTTAGAGTACACTCCAACAGATATTTAATAGTTTAGAGTACACACCAATAGACAATTAACAGTTTAGAGTACACACCAATAGGTATTTAATAGTTTAGTGTTGACGCCAAAGATATTTAATAGTAATAATACAAATTAAACAGGTTACAGTACACACCAATACGAATTAAACAGTTTATAGTACACACCCATACACATTAACAGTTTACAGTACACACAAATATACATTCAACAGTTTACAGTACACACCAATTTACATTCAATAGTTTACAGAACACACCCAAACACATTAACAGTTTACATTACAAACCAATATACATTCAACAGTTTACAGAACACACCAATACACATAAAATAGTTTTCAGTTCACACCAATTTCAATAAACAGTTTACAGTACACACCAATATACATTCAACAGTTTACAGTACAAACCAATACACATTAAAAGTTTACAGTACAAACCAATAAACATTAAAAGTTTACAGTACACACAAATATACATTAAAAGTTTACAGTACACACCAATATACATTCAACAGTTCACATTACACACCATTATACATTCAATAGTTTACAGTACACACCAATATACATTCAA